AAGGGGTTAAGAAGAGAGTGAGAGGAGAGAAAGTGGGGGCACCTGTTGTAGATGGCCTTTTTGAGGAGTTTAGCCACAAAAGGCCTAAGAGAAATGGGATGATAGTGGGGAGGAAAGGATCAAGTGAAAGTATTTTTTAGGATGAGGGAAACATGGGCATGTTTGTAGGGAATCAGCCAGTAGATGGGAGAAATTGAGAATAAGTGAAAGGGTTGGGAGGACAGGAGCAGTCTGTTGGAGGAGGGGGGATGGCTTGAGTAGGTAGACAGAGCCTCATCATGTGGGACAAGGGTGAAGGAGGAAATGGCAGCAGAAGGCACTTGACTGATCGGGGGATTAGGAAAAGGGGAGAAGAGGGAGCTCATGGTGGCTGACCTCAGTTTTGTCTGTCAGATATGAGGGGAGGTTTTCACCTGGAGGTGGGGAGCCAGAACCATGGGTGGTTTGAGGGCTAAAAGGTTTTTTAAGAGCCACTATGGAAGGTCCCAGCCCCAAAAAGAGAAACAGCTCAGCCAGAGTTGGTAAATCAAGGTACAAGTTTAGGATTCGACCTTATGATGGCTGAAGGCTTAAGTTGTTTTTAATGAGATGGGAGAAGTTTGCACATTGTTTTATCAAATATTGCCTGAATGGTGTATTTCTGTAGTTAAAAAAAAAAAGCTGAACTTTATTGAAAATTTCTCCCTTTTGTTTAAGGCTATGTTTTCTGCCAGAGACATGACCAAAGTGAGTATCACAGCCTTGCCCAGAAAGCCACTAAGGAAGAGCTTTTGTCTTTGCTAAAAACGATTGATGAGGACTCAAAATTACCTGCCAAAGAAAAGAAGAAATTGCTGGGTCAGTTTTATGAGAGTCACCCAAATATCTTTATTGAATATTTTGGAGATAGGGTTTCAAATATTTTTATATAATTTGTGTATATGAGAGTGATTGTGTATATCTGAAAATAAAATGTATACTCTATATTGTGAGTTTTGAAATGTTGCTTTTTTTTAAAAAGATGAAACTGTGATAAATAAAATATTTGCTTCTATACATACACCTTTTATGTATCTGAAACTTAACATGACGTCTTGAAGTAATTAGCAGGATGTTTTAAAATTTTATTTATTTTTAGTTTTCAACATTCACTTCCGTAAGATTTTGAGTTTTAAATTTTCTCCCCCTGCCTACCCTCCCCTGTCCCCAAGACAGCATGTAGTTTGATATAGGCTCTCTCTCTCTATTCACATTCAGCATTTTCACGTTAGTCATGTTGTAAAGAATTAGAACCTAGGGGGGAACCACTAGAAGGAAGAAAGCCCGATCATAACAATAAAAAAAGAGCCAACAGTCTGCTCCCGTCTGCGTTCAGACTGCACAGTTCTTCCTCTGGGGGTGGACGGCCTTTGCCGTCATGAGTCTTTTGGAGTTGTCTTAGATCCTTATTGCTGGGAAGAGTGAGTCTATCAAAGCTGACTGTGGCACAGTGTTGCTGTTACTATGTACAATGTTCTGGTTCTGCTCACTTCTCACTCAGCATCAGTTCATGTAAGTCTTTCCAAGCTTTTCTGAAATTGAGCAGAATGTTTTTGGCTATGACTATTTTTAGGTGAGTTGATTTAGACCTACAGCTCCCCAAACAGAAGGTAAGACATCCTCCTAGTTGATCAGTGGTGAGAAAGCTCATGGGAATGTGCTCCTAAGAGCTCAGGCCAAGAGGTATCTTGACGAGGTGCACAGAATGGAGAATGGAAAAGACTGGAATCTAGGTTCCCATCTTCAAGACATCCTAAGAGTGCAAAGTGCTTCGTTTACAGGGTACTTGTGAGCATTGTAGTCACATCTTCCAGTGTTTATTAAGTGGCTGCTCTTTGCTAGACGGTCCCGCCTGGGGCCAGAAGTACCAAAGTGCCATGGTCCCCAGTATCAACAAGCCTACATTCTTGGGGTGGGGAGAGCCACGTGGTCACAGACAAGTGAATACAAGATAAAAAATGTGTGTACATGTACACACAGATACAATTTGGAGAAAATGAGAAAAGGCCTCTTGAAAGAGGTGGCCTGTAAGGCAGAGCTTGAAAGATGCTAGAGGAGAGATAGCTAACCCAGCGAGGGAGGGAGGATGTCATCTCCCAGCTCGAGGAGGCCAGTCTGGCTGGACGATAGCATACAATTAACCTGGAAGGGCAAGCTGGAGCCCGATCATAAGAAGCTCTCCAGGCCAGAAGAAGGCGTTTTATTTTATCTTAGAGGCAACGGACAGCAACCTAGTCAGCAGTGGCCTTGATGGTTTGTCAGAAGTGGAGAATGGATGGTTTGAAGAGGGGAGGACTGGAGGCAGAGAGATGGAGTAGGGGGCTATGGCAGGCCAGGACTTGGCCACTTATTGCCCATGGGGAGTGAGAGTGATGTATACAGAACCAGGGAATTGAGGAGGGAAAGGATGGGTCCTCTTTGGGACCTCCAGGCAAAGAAGGGTAGCCAACACAGAGCATCAGAGCTGGAAGGCGCTTCAGACACCATCCAGTACAATCTCCTTCTTTGACAAATGAGAGATGGCTTTGAGTCGGGACTCAAAGCCAAGTTTCTTTATCCCTCCAGTCCTTTTCCTACACTAGGAAGAGTATTAGCCATTTTTAACGCTGCTCACACCACTCGGAGATTGTGGACCTGGACCTAGAACTAGAAAAGGCCTTCTGACTGTTCACCTGTTCAATTTCAGTTCAATCAAGTACAGTTCTTGTCCATAACCCGGGCTGTAAAGTAGAGCTCTTTCTAAGAAACCTAAACCAGGGTCACGTGTGAAAATGAAACATGCTAACAGGACTTTTTAAAAATTCCCTTTGATTTTTTTTTCAAAGAGGCTGTTGGAAAAATACTCATATCTCAGCATTATGAAGATGGAATACTCACAATTGCCAGTCTTGGCACATTCCTAAGATTTCAATTTTATTATAAATATATTAACTAAAAATCTGGTAACATTCCAGAAAAACACATAAAAAATGACAAAATTGTTTTAAAATATCAACTTAAAATTTTTTTTTAATCAAGGCTTTTCTTTGAGAAATAATAATTAAAAAGGAAGTGAAATTAAGAAGAACATAAAAGCTATATCATGGCAACATGTTCTTCCTCTCTAGTTATGACACATCGCACACATCTCCTTTGATTCTGATTATGCCACCGGGAGAATTAGCTTCTTTTTATAGACAACGGGAACAGCCTGGTGGCCTCTGGGTACCTTCCTGTCACTATAATACACTTAGTCCAAATTCAGAGTCCAAATTCAAACCTGGGTCTGTCCTGATTGTCATTCTTACCTCTCTATGTACCACGCTACCTCCCTGATATGGCATGATAATAGTGTATGACTTTGTGCTCTCCTGTTCTTATGGATCTGAGACTTGGACTTTATGTTCAAATCCAGCAAGGTCCATTCATTAATGCCTCTTTTTTAAAAAAGGGTGTCATGGACTTGTCTGTTGAAATGTAGATGTTTAAAATGCAGAAATGATTGTATGTGAATTCGTAAGCTGTTAGGCAGTTCCCCTCTCCCCCATGTATTTTTAATTTAACACAGTAACAACTGTCTTGTTTGCCCACCCCCTCCTGAACTTCCTTCAGCCATCACCAAGGACCAGCTAGTCCTCAGATGTCTCGGGTCATAAGCAGTGTGAGGAGACCGAGGCATGGGACAAGGAGGCAGGGATGACTCAGGTTGGCAGGAATGATGCTTGTGAAACGAAGTCCGCTAAAAGCCCCGCTAGACCCATTTTGTGGGTGACAGCAGACAAGTAACTAAATGGCACCTTCCCCTTAGGGAAATTTGAGCGGCCACGGCTAAACCGCTCCAGGATCTCCGCCCAGAAAACCTCAGACGGGGTCACGAAGAGTCGGACACGACTGAACGCCCAGACGGCGCGTCCCGCCCGCGCGAGCCTCCTGTTAGGAGCAGGAGGGGCCAGGACCACGCGGCCGTGGCTCCCGGCTGGGGCTGTGTGGGACGTGGGGAGATGCTCAGGACATCCTCAGGGAGATGCTCAGGACATCCTCAGGGAGAGGGGCTGAAACTGGCAGGAAAAAGGGGCAGCTAGCTGAAGCAGTGGATAGAGCTCTGGCCTTGAAGTCGGGAGGACCCGAGTTCAGATCCGGCCTCACACACTTGACACGTACTAGTTGTGTGACCTTGGGCAAGTCACTTAACCCCAACTGCCTAAGGGGGAAAAAACTGGCAGGAAAAGGTCACTGGAGGCAACTGTGGCCCCCAGCTACTAGGGCAGATGCCCCCTCCCCTGCCTGCTGAGCCCAAGGGAAACCTTCTGGGGGACCCCGAGCTAGTCTGGGTTGTTTTTAAAGGGGGGTTGGGAGGGTGGCCTGAAACACGGGAGGAGGGAGTGCCAGATTCGGGGGCAGCTCTGCACGCGGTGCAGATGCTTCCTTTGCCATCGACTTCTTGGGTGACCAGGAACTTCTTGCAACTCTAAACTTTTGGACGCTGATCGCTGTCTCTGGTGTTTTCCAGCACCAAATTCTGCAGTGCATTAAGGTCAGCTGCTGCTTGGTCTTCCTCTTCTCCACGCCCCTCCTCCCCAACCTCGGGAAGGGCAGGGGGAGGAGGGGGCCCAAAGAGGGCAGGCTGGACCCCGAAGCTGGGAAGCTGCAGCTGCGCGCTAAAGCGGGCCTTGAAGTTCTGCTTCCTAAGAGCTAAAGAGGAGCCCGGGGGCAGGGAGGTCCTCGGACCATGGGCTGGAGCAGCCTCAACCCTCACCCCGCCTGCGGTAACGTCATGGACACGTAAGCGATGCTAAGCAAGGCTTGTGGTATCCGTGGTTAAAGTTCTCGTTTCTGTTAATAACTGTGATTTAAAAGAAGAGCAACTGCATCCCGAGGGTGGCTGCGGCCATTGTCCCCGGGCAGCCGCGAGGAGCACTGAGTCAGGAGGGGCGGGGCGGAGCAGGCGGCCGCAGGCTCCGCGCATGCGCGCCCCTCGCGCTTCCGTACAACAAGATGGCGCCTCCCTGTGCGCTGTAGGCGGCGGCGCCGTGCTCCCGCGTTCCCCGCCCCCAGTCCGCCGAGGACCGTTGGGCGGCTTCCCAGCGAGAGGCGCGCGGGGCTCGGCTGCTCTGGGCCCGCCTCCTGCCCGCTGCCGCCCCTGCTCCCGCTCCAGCGTCCGCCTGAGTCACGGTAGTGAGTGCTCCCGAGCCTCTGGGCCCCCGGCGCGGCTCGCGGTAAGCTGAGGGGCCCTGGGCGTGGGGCCGGGGGGAAGGGGCGGGGAGGCTGCGGCCTCCCGAGAGCATCCTTGGGCGGGAGGAGCCGCCCGGGCATTGCACGGGCTGTGCTTCGGGGACCGGAGGAGGGCCTAGCTGAGGGTGAAGAGCACGGGTGCTGAGGACAAAGGGAAGTCATCTCCGCTCCCCCGGGGGCTGGAGCGAACGTCCGTGTGCGCCTACTGTGTGCCGGGCGCCGGGCCAACCCCTTTAAATCATCCTCTCATTTTATCCCCGCCGCCACCCTGCGAGGCAGCAGCCATTATAGGCCCCATTTTACAGATGGGAGAAATTGAGGCAGGCAGAGGCGGAGTGACTTGCCTCGGGTCACCCAGCTAGGAAGTGGATGAATCTGGATTTGAACTCAGGTCTTCATGACTCTGTGCACTGTGGCGTCCCCTACAAGATCCTTCGTTCTTTTCCAGTGTTATCACTTTGCCCCCATTGGGGTTCCGACCCAGATCCCACCGACTCTTTCCGTGGCACGCCTCTGAAAATACTCATTGTCTATAAGGAGTTGCAGAGACTGTGTTGTCTAGAACCTACGGGCCAGTTGGGAAAATAAAGAGGATAACTGTCCTTTAGATGCATGTTATATAAATGTCAATGACTACAGCGAATCAGAGCTCTAGGAGTCCAGGTGGGCGAGGCTCTGAAGACAGCTGGAACTTGAACTTGGGCCACAGTTGATTTGCGTAGTATGAGATTAAAAGCTCATCATCAGATTGGCCATAGTGAAGGAACGAATAAATGAATGAATGAATGAATGGGGGGGGGAAGCATTGATTAAGCATTTGCTGTGTTCCAAGCCCTGTCCAGAGGACTGGGAATACAAACAGCAAGAGCCCCTGCTGTCAGGGAGCTCACGCTTTAGTGGGAGGAGCTGGCACGTGTAACAAACAATTCACCTCCAGGACAGATGGAGAGTCCAGAAAGTCCTAAGGGTAGAACAGTGAAGTGGTGGAGTGGGGGGGGGGATGGCGAGGCCCCGGGCTACTGAGTATGGAGTGAGAGGGGAGAGGATGAAGGGGGCGAAGGGAACTTTGGGGCACAGAAATGGGGCAAGTAATGGGGTCTGCAGGGTCTCTGGAGAGTGTGGTGGGCAGGTGATGGGGGAACAGAGCTGTCCAGCAGCCCAGCCCCTGAATCAAGGGGGAATGGCTTGTGGCTCTCCCCGTGCGATGCTGGCCACCCCAGATGGATGTGGGGTAGGGGTATGGTGAGCTTTAGGCGAACATGGGGAACAACTTTTCTTTAAATTAAAAAAAAAATTATGAACTAATGATTCAGCAAATACAATCTGCTATACAAAATAATGAATTAATTTTTTTGTACAAAAATCTTAGCATTTAACAAGGTAGAACCAAGTAATTTAACAAATAGACAAAAAAAGTTTTTGTTTAGTGTTTATTTTCTATGCCTGTCAGAAATTCTGCTACTTCTGGCTTTCTCATCTTCCTTCCTTCCTTCCTTCCTTCCTTCCTTCCTTCCTTCCTTCCTTCCTTCTTTCTTCTTTCTTTCTTTCTTTCTTTCTTTCTTTCTTTCTTTCTTTCTTTCTTTCTTTCTTTCTTTCTTTCTTTCTTATCTAGTTGTCAATATGTGTGCAGTTCTGAGTCTGCTGCTTTCAGTTTTCGTTATTTCTTGGTAGGTCTTTCCAGATTTCTTTATTTGCTTCATGTTTGTCATGTTCATGGCACCATGATATTCCATTACATTAATATCTTTGGGGACAAAGGAGTATGGATCCAGACCTAGGATTTTATTGGTATAAATGTCTCCATTGATACAAATAACTTAAGGTGTTACAGAGTTGCTTAGGGCACTTTATAGGATCATAAGTTTAGAACTGGAAGGGAGTTTAGTTGTCCAACCCCCTCATTATACAGATGAGGAAACTGAGGCTCAGAAGCTTGTCCAAGGAACTTGTCCAAGGTCATACAGATTTGCCTATGAACACAGAGTAGATATATATCAGAGACAGGACTTGAACCCAAGTCTTCTGAACTCCAAAGCTGGCCTTCTATTTGAAACATCTTACTGTTTCTCATAATTTATTTAGTGATTTTCAAATTGTTGGCAGTATAGGTTGTTTCAATTATATGTGTATCTATATATGTTTGTATATATTTAGAGAGAGTAGCTATGAATATTTTCATACAAATAGGTCCTTTCCCCCCTTTTGTCATGTTTTACAATGAAGTGCTAACATTAGAATCCACTGGGTCAACGTCAAAGCTCTGATTGTGTATTGCCTTCCCAAAATGTTTATGCCAGTCCGCCAACAATGTATATAAGTGCCTGTTTCCCAACAGCCCCATCAATGTGGAGTTTTATAAACATATGAGAGACAGTGCTGCAGAAATAGGAAGATCTGGGTTCAAGGCCTACCTCTGAAACATACTGATATAATGGACCTGGGCAAGAAACTTAATCTTTTAGTCTCTATAAGATGTAGGTCTGGATTGGAAGAGGGACTTTCCTCATCTGAGAGTCCACTGTACCAATGAAATGAGTAAACCTGTCAAGTCCTTTATCTATCTATGGATACAATATCTATATCTATATCTATATCTATTATATCTATATCTATATCTATATCTATATCTATATCTATATATGTATATATATTGTGTGTATGTATATATTATATATATATATAAAAATATGTATATAGAATATATACACAATATGTATAATGCATACACTATTATATATACAACAGTGTATATTGTATATAATACATACACAATGGCATATATATATATATATATAGTAGTATGTATAGTTAGGGGTACAGCGCCCCTCACCGCCCACCTAGAAAATCCTCATAAAATTTTTTGGCCCTGCCTTTATGCCAGAGGAGAAGTCTGAATTATTATAGTATTAAAAGATAAAATATGTTGATATTATACAATAGTATAGGTGTATTTTATTTATTTCTGAATTTCTAAACTTTTTCTGTGTCGTTTGCTGACACTTGCTTGCTGTCTGCGGCTTCTTTGAAACTTGCCCAAAATTCCCGTTTAATTTCTTACACTGACCTACAATATGTTGAAACCTTGATGGGGAAAGTTGAAAGGTGGATGGGATAACTGTATAATGAATATATACAATGTGATATATATATATATATATATATATATATATATATATTATATATAATATATATATATATAACTATATACTACAATATATACGTACACACATATATAAATATGTATAGACATATAAAATGTTTACTAGTTATCATGCTAGCCATGCCTTCCTTTTGAAGACGTTCTTCCATCTACTCTGTATGTCTTGTACACTTATTTATATGTATTATCTCCCTATTAGAATGTAAGCTCCCTGAGGGCAAGGCCTATTTTTTCACTTTTTCTTTGTCTCCCCAGTGCTTTGGCACATGGTAATGGTTTAATAAATATATTTTTGTTTGCTTGGCTGATGGCTCTGTCTCCATGGAGGTGTGGCTGGCAAAATCACAAGTCCTTAAAGCAGAGATATGAGAATGAGCAGAAGAAACCTAGGTCTTGCTTCTGCCTCTCACTGTGCAGAGTAGTGGTGTTAAGGACTGTTAAGGTCCCCTGGTCCTGTTGACAGTGGACAGAGTGCTGGGGATTTGGAATCGGGTGGGCCTGGGTTTAAATCCCAATGCAGACACTAGCAGTGTGACCCTGGCTGAGTCACTTGATCTCTATATGTCCGAGTTTCTACAACTGTAAAATGAGGGAGGGGATGAACTCAGTGGCCTCTTAGTCTGGGCTCTGGATGTCCCAAATCATATGTTTTTGCTTCCTCACATAAAATATCCTGCTAATGCAGGGCTTTCTAGCCTGGAGAACTGGTCTTATTATTTCAGTGGCTATTTCAACATAATTGGTTTCTTTTGTAATCCTGTATATCTTGTTTTATGCATTTAAAAACACTTAATAAGAAGGGGGTCACCGTAGTGCCATCGCCTGAGGGGTCCTGGGCACAGAGAATGTTAAGGATCCCATGGTTATGGAACGGTGACAAAAACAACGTCGACAGAGTTAGGGCATTTTGGATCCTGTTTAGAGTAGGGGCACTGGGGAAGGAGGAAGCATCAGAGAGTTTCAGTACCTTTCCCCCCGCCGCCCAGACAGAAAGAGGAAAGATACAGTCACCAAACTCTAGTGTTATTGATGCAGGCCTGGAAAATTCCACTTCCATTGCCAGCCGGTCCATTCCCTTGCCTGGAGTTCCTCCTCAGGTCTCAGATGAATATGATATGGGATCCTTCTCTTTGCCCTGCTGAGCACAGGCTGCTCGGTGGCTTCCCTAAAGCTTCAGGGCTGAGCTTTGATCATGATCCAGCTGGGGGGATGGAGTCTAATTAGTGTTTGTGGAGGTGCTCTTTGTTATTCCATGGCTTAAGATGGTCCAGATGCCAATTATTTTCAGCAGTGGATATCCCTGTTGAAAAAAACATGATGTCCTGTTCCCCACACACCTCCCCCTCGGTTGTGGTTGTTAACATCCCAGGACAGCAAGGGACCTGGGGAAAAAACCCAACTAATCCATTAGAAGCCCCTGTGACAGCAGGGCTTAGGATGTGCCCCAATCCAGACAAAAGAGTGGAGTGTTAGACTGGCTTACTTAGGCCCCAAAGCCTAGCCACCCCACCCCCACACCCCACTCTGGTCCAAGGTTTCCCACTTCACTCTCCCACCTGCTTTCCTAAAGGAAAGTCTGGAATTCCTTTTTAATGTGCTCATCTTATGCCTTATTGTTAACAGTAATCATCCACAAAACAGAACAATCACCTGTACGACCCTAAGCGCCAAATTATGTACAGTTTTTTAAAAAATTATATCTTAACAAAATAATGACAGTGATATCCTTCTTGCCTCCACATCCCCTTCTGATGCCTTTTCATTCTGCGGAGTTTGCCTCTTAGATTTCATTATTGCTCCCTCCTCATTTTACAGGTGAGGAAACTGAGGCTCAGATGAAATGATACAGGTAGAAGGTGGCGGAGCTGGGAATCAAGCTCGGGATCTCTGACCCTGGCTCCCTTCACTGATCTTCCCATGTTCCTCTTTTCTTTGAACATATAAGCATGTGAACATATAAACATATGAACATATAACATATAACCAAGACATTTTTTGCAAAGACTTCCTAGGCATATGGTTCCTAAGCTGTCTGCTTCAGGTCAGCAAACATTTATCTAGTGCTTATTAGGTGGAAGGCCTCACACAGGCCCTGCCCTCGAGGAGCTCATAGTCTATTGGCACAAGCACACAAGTCACTAGGACAGTAGTTGGGTAGGAGCCAGGAGACACTTAGGCCACAAAGAACGAGAAGACAAACTGTTTTCAGCTGGGGAGGCCCTGGCCTTCGGAAAGACTTCACGGCCCTGCCCTTTCTCTGCACGATGCCGTTTGGTGGTCTCATCGGCTCCCATGGTTTGCTGTCCAACTTCCAGTCTCTTGTCGACTGCCTATTAGATATCTCAAACTGGGTGTCCCGCAGACACCCGAAACTCAGAGTGTGCCAAACTGCACTTGTTACCTTTCCCCCAAACCCTTCCCCTCTTCCTGACTTCCCCATTATTGTCAAGGGTCCCACCATGCTTCCAGCCACCCCAGCTCCAACTCCAGGTAGCATCACCTCCTCTTGCCCCTACCATAGCCGTCAGCTGTGAAGGGTCTGTCATTTCTGCCTTCGTGACCTCTCCCATAGACCCCTTCTCTCCTCGGACTCACAGGCCCCCATCCCCTCCTGCCCGGCTACTGAGACAGCCGGTGGGTCTGCTTGCCTCAGCTCTCTCCCCCACCTTCCATTCAGCTGCCAGAGTGATTTTCTTGAAGCGCAGGTCTGATCGTGTCTCCTCCCTATTCAGTAAACTCCAGTGGCTCCTTATTATCTCTAATAAAGGGCTTTCAAATCCTCTGTTTAGCTTTTAAACCCCTTCCTAGCCTAGCCCCTTCCTACCTCTCCCATCTCTTTATGCCTTAGTCCCCTCCCTGTTCTCCGTGACCCAGTGACAAGGCCCCCTAACTCATGCATTTTCCCTGGATGTCCTCATTACCTGGAACTCTCTCTCTCTCTCTCCTCGTCTCCACCTCCTGGCTTCCCTGGCTTCCTTCAAGTCTCAGCTGAAGTCTCCCTTCTACAAGAAGCCGCCTTTCCCAGTCCTCCCCAGTCTTGGTGCTTTCCCTCTGGGACCCCTTTCCCCCACTTTAGCCTGTGTATGTCTTATTTGGACACAGATTTTTGTGTGCTGTCTCCCTGTCAGATCGGGAGCTTCTGGAAAAAAATGACTGGCTCTTTTTTTTTTGGCTTTTCTTTTCATTCCCACGGCTTAGCACAGTGCCTGGCACAACGTAGGTGCTTAAAAAGTGCTAGTTGACTGGCTTCATGGGGGAGGTGTCATCTAAACTGGATGTTAAAGGAAGAGAATGACATCATTAGGAAGGAAGGACACTAGTATTAAGTGCCTGCTGTGCACCAGGCTCTGTGCTAAGCACTTTCCAAATATTATCTCAGACTCTCTACCTGTTAACTTGGGGTCATGGGAGTCTAGAGTCCAGCGCCCTCACTTTGCAGAAGAGATAGAGATAATGGGAAGTAATTCCAGGTATGAGTGATGGTGGGGACAAAGGCACTGAGATGGAAGGAGAAGACAGGGCGAGAGAATAGAGAGAAAAGTCCGTTTGGCTGGAATGTGGTATGTGAAGGGATCATATGAGGCAGGGCCGTAGGATAAGGGTAGCTGGGTGGCCCAGGGCCCGAACACAGGAGTCAGGAAAACCTGAATTCAAATCCGGCCGCAGACACTTCCCAGCTGTGCAACTCTGGGATTCTTTCGATTTCTGGTTTGCCCTCTGGTTCTACTATATCAGGGCCTTGAATGCCAGAGCCAGGAGTAGAGACTTCATTAGGTGCAGAGTAGGTCTCTACAGGAGGTGTTTGAGTAGAGGGCTGACCTGATTGGAGTCAAGCTTTGCGAAGATTTCTTTCCAATCTCAGCTTGGAAGTTCTATAGTCGGAAGAAAGAGACTTCAGGTAGTCTGAGTAAGAAGGGATGAGGAAGGGCCTGATCCAGGCGGCTGTAAATCTACCTACACCAGCAGGGCCATGGCCTGTTGTCCTTCAGAAACCGTGACCCGGATTCGTTCTTCCACTTGCTAAGGCTGTTGAATGACTTACCCAAGGTTCCACATGCAGTAATTGGCGGTGTCGGAATCTGAACTCAGGTCCCGTGATTCCAGTTCAGATCTTTGTTCTGTCCTTATTGTGGTTCTTATTTCTTGAGGGTGGGTCAATGTGTCCCAACCATGGGGCTCTGTTAGAAGTGGTGATGTCCAGGAGTCTAGAGCATCCTCTCACGTGGAACCCGCAGGTGTTAATGGGGTAGTTCGGGCAACCTCATCTTGTCCTTTCTCCTCATTTTACTGCGAGGGAAGGGATGGCCCGAGTCCCAGGAACAAAACAGTGACTCCTTTGTTGTGACTGTGGTGGTGATTGTTTTCCCCTTTCCTAGGAAATCGTATCAACCTGTTGAGGATGTCCAAGAACCGTGACGACAAGCCTCACCCAAGCGATTCAGAGGGAACTCTGGAAGATGGTGTAGATGGGGCTGATGAATCCATCCGAAAGAGGATCCGGCAGAGCACTCCCAGCCCGCAGAGACTGCCAAGGCCGCAATGTAAGCATGAGCCCCCTTTCCTAGGTCACCAGCAGCAGAGGGACAGTCCTGGTCCCCGAAGGCTGGGCACGTTAGCCTGTAACTGGCACACACGCTGCATGCATTAAGCGGCATGTGATTTAAGGGTACAGATGTGGCCAGTAATTAACATTGGAGAAAAGCAGCTTGTCCTTGTCCGGCAGGACTTGGCTCATTGCCCTGTCAGGGGGAGTCCTGCAGGGTTTCAGTTACATAGGAAATGAATATTTTAGAATTAACAGATCAGCCGTCCTTTCTGTATCCTCCGGAGCAGCGCAGCTTCTCTGGACGTCTTGGTAGAAGTAGACAAAAGCAATGATAATCACTAACATTTATATGCCTTTTTTTCCCTTCCAAATTGGTTTCCCATGGCCTTTTATTTTTAAAAAGTTGAAGCATAGGGTCTTAGATTTAGAGCTGCAGAGGGTCTCAGAGGGGTCATCATCCCCCTCATGTTAAAGAGGAGGAAACTGAGGCCCAGAGTTATGTGTTTTGCTCAAGGTCATACTGGTACCAACCATTCAAGGGAGGATTTGAATCCAGGTCCTTTGACTCCAAAGCCAAGATTCTTTCCACTGTGCCTCATCACTTCCCAGGGTTCTTAATCATATTCTACTTGTCTTTTAGTTATTTAGTGCCTTTGGGGGAGAGGGGTTACAGCAGTCATTTCTCCATCTACCCTTTCATTCACCTCCATTGAACTCTACCCTTTGATAAATGAGAAATGGAACAAAATCAACAACCGAGCAATGATACCTGACAGCACATGTTCGCACCCTTAGTCCCCTCCCCGTACTGAGAGGAGAGGATAATTGGCATTTGTATAGTACTTCAAATCCATTACTGTTTGATCCGCACAAGTGCCTTTCAGTGCAACTCCTACCAGAGCACTGCTGCCATTTTATAGATGGACAGACTGAGACTCAGTGAGGCTGACTTGCCTATTGTTATATAATGAATAGATTTCAAAGGTGGGATTTGAACTTGGGTCTCTCCCGGCACCAGGTCCAGGACTCTTTCTCCTACTCTATTCTGCCTCTCTGCCTACTTTTTTTTTTAAACAATTTACATGGTGCTTTACATGTATCATCTCCCTTGATCCTCGCAACAATCCTTTCAGGTCGATTCTCCCCATTTTACAGATGAGAAAACTACCACACAGTGTGTGAAATGTGTCGTTCTCATTGACCTAAGAAGGGGATTGAGAGTCTGACTTTTTCGTTTCCCTCCAGGGTTGAGCAGGTGACAGTGTGTGTTGGTCTGTGCATGTCTGTGACTTGGCTGAATCCTATCCCCGGGGCCGAGGTCTTGGCTCCCGTGAGTTTGAAAGGACTTCCTTGGATGAGTCTGCCACCTTAAGTGCTGAGGCTGTATCACAGGGTGGTTTCCATGTGCCCCCCAGAAGCTGCCCCAACCTGTGATTTTTTTTTTGCAGGCTACTAAAACAATTGGCAAATGTGCCCAAAACTGAGGTGTTTGCTTTTTTTTGGAAGGACTGTCATAGTTTAGGAATGTGAGAATGATGATATCTCTTTTAAAATGCACTGGACGGAGAGGTGGGATGGGTACAAACATTTCCCGCTCTCCTGAATTGTTCAGAACACTTCCCAGGTGATTGTTTCCCTCTTCCTCCAAGCATCCTTTTAGTGAATGGAGGAGGGCCCTCCTAAAATGTGGGTCATCTTGGAATTCATGAATCCGCTTATTCGTTAATATTCATGAATGAATTTATCATTCATTAGTACACACTGGTGCTGGTGTGCCAAAGGTCACCCGAGACCAGCTTTGGATGACCCCACGGGCGATTCATCTGTTTAGATGTCTCATCCCCCAGGAGAAGGTAAGCCCTCTGGAGGCAGGAACTCTTTTTGTTTTGTCTTTGTGTCGGGAAAGCGTGGCATGGTGTGTCCACTCCTTTACTATCCTGGCTGCCCTGAGTGTGGGAGTCAGCAGATGAGGCTCAGTCAGTTGAAGGAACTGGAGGATATTTAGCCTGGAAAAGACTGGGGGGGAACTGTGACAGCTCTGTGTGAAGTAGTTGAAGGAGTGCCGTGTGAAAGCGGGCTCAGATTGGCCCTGTAGCCCCAGAGGGCAGAACTGGGAACAAGACCTTACAGAGACAAGTTCCCGCTTGATGTCAGGAAAACCTCACTAAAAATGAAAGCTTGTCACACGTGTGGGAGGGGCTGCCTCTGGAAGGAGCAGATCCCCCCCACCCCACCGTAATAGTCTTTGAGCAAGGGCTCAGTGCCAACATGTCTAGTCTAAGGGAGATTCTTTTGGGGTGCAGGCATTTGCTGTGTGCTGAGAAATTCCTTCCAACTCTGAGATTCGGTGACTCAGTGAAAATTGATTTGTGACCATAATATACAGTTCTTTGATTTGTGACTCAGTCATTCTTTGTCTTGTTACTGGCTGCCCTTCGCCCTGCCAGGGAAATCAGAATTCTTTCATCTGTTCCCGTTTCTCTTTGCTGGGTAGCACCTGGCGTTTGTCTGGGACTGCCGTGTCTCAGCACACTCCCTGAGCTAATCCATGCCCCTTACAAAGGAGGTTTGACATTGAAGAGGCTGAACGGGACATCTAGTCCAAAGGCCCAGAGAGAAGAGAAGGCTTCCCCAAGGTCTCCCAGCCGATGGGAGGCCAGCTCCCTGGCCCCTGCAGCTGGGTGCCTCCCACTCACTACAGTTCTCCTTTTGGCCTCCTCAGCTGCAGTGTCCCGTGCCCTTTCTCCCTTCTGAGTGAACTGAGGATTTATAGCCCCTGGGTGCAGGAAGTATGAGTACCCTCTGAGTCAAGGATTACAAAGAGAAAAAACTGGATGTGATGAGCCATCTCCTGGAGCCTTCCCACAAGGAGCCAACCTCAGGGCATGGATCATAGCAGTCATAAAGCTGAGGTTGGGGGCTTTGAGGCAGCTAGTGGCTCAGGGGAGAGAGTGTTTGCCTGGAGTCAGGAAGACCCGAGTTCAAATTCAGCCTCAGACCCCATGCAAGTCAGTGAACTGCTGTTTGCCTCATCTCCTTAGCTGTAAAATGGGGATAAACAACAGTGCCTACCTCTCAGAGTTGTTGTGAGGAGCAAATGAGATAATATTTGTTAAAGTGCTTAGCACAAGGCTCATAGTAGGTGTTATTTAATATAAATGCTTATTCCCCCCACAGAAAAAAAAAAACATCTCAAGAAGCCTCGCATTTAAAAAGCAACTCATGAAAGGTCAACTGTAATCTCAGAACTTGTAACATGAGGCAGTGTATAAGGACAGGAGTTTTGAGTGACTGATGAGGGATTTTGAAAACCAGAATCTCACCGTGTTTCCAGCACTGATTCATTAGGCAGAACTCTCCCTAGAATGGAGAAGAGCAGTTTATCAGAGGCAGTGCAGTATAACAAAGGAAAATAAGTCTGGGTTTGGAAACAGGAGGCCTGGGTTCTAATCCTGCTTCTCACACTTAACTAGCCATGTGACTTTGGTCTCTGAGCCTCAGTTTCCTTATTTGTAGACTGGAGATGGTGCTACCTGCCCCCACCTACATCTCAAGCATTGGAGTGCAGAAAGCCCTTTAGAAACCTCAGAGAACTTGCTGTGTCAGTGTGAGTCACTTACTTCCGTTCTAGTGTTGTGCTCACTTTTGGTCTGATATCTGTGTGACCTTGGGTGAGTCCCTGGCCTCCTCTGTTCCTCACCTGCAGCATGAGGGAGGTGGACTGGATGGACCTGGGAGGTCCTTCTCTGCCCTGCATCTGTCATTCTCAACGACTTGGTCCACCAGGATGGCCTGTCCTGTGCAGGTGAGGAGTAGTTCTGTCAGCTGGCTTTCTTGTTGTAAGTGACTGAATTATATGTGAACCAATCTCTTATTCCTGTGGTTAGCAAATCATTATTCCTAAGCTGATAAAATGGAGTCTGTGAAGCTTCAGGGCCAAGGATCGGCCCCCGTGCTGTGATGTTCCCACTGAGGTGGAAGGCCCTGCCAGAGATAGCCTTTGGCTTTTTCCATGCTGCCACTCTGCCTCCTCGACGGGCCACCCAGTCGTGTTGCTTGAAGCATCCACCTTGGCCTGCATGCCATCATCTTCCAGGACCTCCCTGCAGAGGAGATTGGTCACCGCCCTTCCTCAGGGTCCTTCAGTTTGACCCAGAATCTGAGCCTGTTGGTGCCATGCTTTGTCTGCTGGTCTCCCCAAGAACATTCTCTTTTGATTTGGCTTCCAGCTCTTCTGTAAGTGACCAGATTTAGGGTGGGCTAGGGGCATCTAGGGGCAGGCTGATGTCCATGCAAGTTTAAAGCACCAGGCTTCATCATAGTGCGTGCCTCTCCCTCTGGCTCTAGTTTCCCTAAAAAGCTGGAGTGAATTCTCCTTGTTTTGTCTGGTCTTTTGAGCTTCTCTTTTGTCATGTCTGCGAGTTCAGCACTTTTAGATGACAGAATCTCAAGTTTAGTCTGTGCTTGGATGGGACTCCCCTGGGCAGCCTAGCCTACAGGTGGTGAGCTTGCAGCCTTTCCCTGCAGACCTCCTGAAAGGGATGGAGGGGGGTGCTGGAGGCAGCCTCAGTCCCCTCTGGGGCAGCTCCAGGTGCTGAGTGGAGAGTGGGCCAGGCCTGGAGTCAGAAAGACTCAAGTCTGTGTCCTGCCTCTGACCCAGGCTGGGGCGTCGTACTGCCAGGCAGCTCTTTAGAACTAGAAGGCTCCAGACAGCTACTGACTGCTGCATTAGTAGAGGAAATTGCCTAATCCAGTGTATTTTAAATTGAAAAGCAAAAAGAAAAAAAAACCCACTATGCACTGAATAACTAGAAGAAAATGAAGCTATTCTAGGTGGACCTTTCTCTAGTGAGTAGCCAAGAATCAAAAGGAGGATATGTTTGTGGGCTCTGATTAACAATATAAAATAATAATAATGACATTTATGTGGTGCTTTCAGGTTTGCAGAATGCTTTACAGTTCAGGAGCTGATCTTTTGCAAATTCAGTTTTATCAGCCTACCCAGCTTACTTGATTCACTAACCAAATTAACAAGACATTGACTTATCAGCCAGGATGAGAATTCTTTCTTTAGAAAGGGAGAGCCATTTAACCAGAGATCTACTTGGGGAGTCAGTGCTCTCTACAATGAAATCGGACGTTTCCGTCCAAAAAAAAAAGAAAGAAAGAAAAAGAAATCCATTTGACGAAGGGCATTGACTCTTAGTGCAGCAGAAAGAATAGTGGGCTTAAATCAGGCGATCTGCCTGGGTTTAAAGCCTGGTTCTGATGGACCTTTCATGCCTCCAGAAGCATGAAGGCTAGTTAGTGCAAATGCTTGACCTGGAAAGCTGCCAGGTAGTGAGTTTCCATCCCTTCCTTCCTCCCCTCCCTCCCCACCAGGGGCCACACATCTGGTGAGCTCCTCCTCACCATTTTATTGCTCCCACGGATGGCCTTCCCAGCTTAGCTTCCGTGTGTCCTGAGTGTCCATCCTCCCTCTCCCCTAATCCCAGGATGGGGTCCGTCTCCCTTCTGCCACTAGGGTTTGAAAGTACATTTGGGATTACTTTTTCACTTGTAATGGCCTCCCCATGTACGTCTCTAAAAGCGGCCAGCTGGAACACAAGCAGTATCCTGTTTCTCTTTGCTACAGATAAATCCGATGCAATGAGACTCCAGGTTATGTTTGCAGACTTATGTTACAGCAAACACCTAAGTGCTCCGGTGTTGCTGGCCCCTGAGAAATTTCCAGGAATTAGCCCCCAAGGAGCTTCAGTTATTCCTGCTGTGTTGGGTTTTGGTCATTCCCCCGCTGAAGCCTTCCTCCTTGTAACCCTGGTTCTCAAAGTCCATGCCAGATGCTGGTGGTTCCTGCCAAGCTGCGAAGGCTTTGAGTTTGGGCGTGGTGATGGGCAGCAGGTCCCAGAGCAGCCTCGCCAGGTTTGCCCTCAGGGGACAGAATTTTTTTTTTCCTTCAGCCTTAGCATCTCATAAATTGGTTTATTAAACACTGCCTAAGTGCAGCTGTCCAGGTGAACCACGAGGCATCTGTGGGGTGGAGCCTCCTCCTGTAATACAAGAGGCGGGCAGCATTCTCTCAGTCACTGTGTACAAGAGACTTTCTTTGGTCTTCCCTCCTGCTTGCTGCTGCCTGAAAATGCCAGATGTTTAGTTAGCCCCCTGACCAGATAAAGGTTGAAATCAGGCTGGTTCCTTTTGGCTGAGTGGAGCAGAGCGGGGGAAGGAGAAGGGCAAAAAAAGACTGGGAAACCTCCTTTGACCCACTTCAGAAGATCCAGACCTTTAAAGACTGTCCTGGCCTTGGACAAAAACAGTGTGCTGGGCTAATGGCCTGATTTTATTAACTAGATCTTATCACTCACCTGTGAGATAAGGACTGGCAATCCCCCCTTCACAGGGAACTTTTCCTCCTCTGGACCTGCCATCCCCTCCCCCACCTCCCTTTGTTTCCCATTTCATAACACCTGGGGAGTTACTGACCCAGAAAGTTAGCTGTTTAGGGAAGTAGGGAGTAGACCAGTGACTGAAGTCATGGAATGTCTACCCTGCCCCCAACCCTGAAAATCCTGGCCCTTTCCTCTTCTGGCCCAGCTGTTGCTGGTCCTCCCACCAGCCCAGGGTTTCAGAATTTCAGAGCTGGGAAGGTCCGCAGAGGTAGATGATCTCATTCAGGCCTCTCCTTTGTACAGCTGAGAAAACTGAGGCCCAGAGAAGCTGGAGACTTGCTCTAGGTCGGTGGCAGCACTCTGACCAAACCTCCAGGGCTGTGCTCATGCCCAGCCTCCTGATTGGGAATTCACTGAGAATCTCAAACGTTCTGGACTGGGGCTGTGTGCTGTTGATCAGACACTGTCCCCTCCTAGGCCCCCACCTGTCTGATTGGCACCCTTCTGCCATCCCACAAATGTGGAGGCCCCTTCAGCCTCAGACTATGAGCCCTTCTCTCCACGGTCTCTCCAGTTGGTGGTCTTAAGGATTCTTGTTGCCTCCCGGGCACATGACTCCAGAATCCTTTATCCATCCCCAGCCTTTCCCCTGAGCTCCCATCCCAACTTTCCAGCTGATTTCAAGAATCTTTACTTGGACTTCCTGTTGGCATCTCTAACTCACCACGAGACACTTAACTTGGTGATTTGCCCTTCTTCCTGTCTTCTCTTTACACCTTCCCAAAAAGTCTTACATACTTGGAGTCCTCTTTTTCTCATGTCCGGCACACGTTCACCCGATTGCCAAATCCAGTCTATGTTACCTCCCCTGACTGTCCTCTCCTTTGCAAGTCTGCAGCCACCCTAGTCCAGGCCCTTATCCCTAACAGCCTCCCACCTTGTCTTTCTGCTTCCTCTCTCCAGTCCTTCTTTCACACTGCTGATTTAATTTTTCACTCTGATCACGTCATTCCTCTACTCGCACATCTTCAGTGGCTCCCCATTGCCAACCAAATAAAGCATTCTGCCATTCATGGTCCTGCAGGGTCTAGCACCAGCCTGCATTTCCAGCCTTATCTCATACTGTTCCCATTCAAGAGCTCTGTATTCCAGCCAAACTGGAGTTCTTTGGGTTCCCTGTTCTCAGTCTGCCTTTTATTGCTGTTCCTTTGTTCATGTAATCTCCTGTGCCCTCATCTCTCTTTGCCGATGACCTTTCCTTCAATGCCCAGCCCAGCTACCAGCTCCTCTTTGAAGCCTTCCCTGACTGAGGTGAGAGTTATTTCCATTTTTCATGGTGGATGTGGAAATATGTTTTGCATGACTTCATATGTATGATGAGTGTCATGCTTCTTAATCTTCTCTATAATAGGTGAGGGAGAGAGATAATTCAGAACTGAAAATAACATTTTTAAAAAACTTATTTCCACATCGACCTTTTCCATTATATGTGTCTAGAGTTTCCTCTTCTCTCACATGCCCTTATATTGTATGGACCTTCCTCCAATCTGCTCCAGTTATAACCTCCTCACAAAAGTCTGTGCTGAGTGTTTCTTTTGGCCTCAGGACCGTGCCACAGAGATCTATTCTTTTTGTACTTTGGGGGATTTTTTTTTTGATTCACTCGGATTTCAGTTTGTTGATCCTTCCCTTATGTGTTTATCTTGCTCTACCTGGTACTATAGACCAAATTCTACTTGGCATTCTATTTGGTGGTTTGTGTATATCGGTTATTTCACTCTGTGGGAAGCCCTTCCCTGAGAGCACTGCGTCTCATCGTCTTTGGACTGTGGACAGCACCTGGCCCAAGGCTTTGTCTGTGATCAGGAAGAGCTTTAAATCTGTTTGTTAAATTTACTTAGGCTGGGGGTTGAGTTAGAGCTGAAGGGGGTAAAGGAGAGACTCCCCGAACTGGTGCGGGTAAACGTGAAGGAGAAGCCATCAGGAGTGGAATTTTCAGGTTTTTGAAAGAGAGGAGAATTCTGTTTCTTTGGATTTTAGTTCTCAGGTCCCAGTTCGTCATAATTAGTGCCTTTTTGGCCGGCTCAGAAGAAACCAATCATTTTGAATGACATGCATTTTTGCTTACAAGGATAAATTACAATAGAATAGGATTCTGCTCAAAAGATTAAGTGATGAAAAAAATGGGTGAAGCATTCAAGGCTATAATTCATCTTGTAGGTTGTCTGGAAAGATGGTGTTCAATGTGCCCAAGGATTAGTTCTGTCTTACTTTGTAGAAAAGCTGGCCTGGGAGAACTGATGTCTTGCACTGGATTTCTGTTGCAGCCAGCCCTCCTCGCCTTGTGTCTGTGGATGAACTCATGGAGACTGTCAAAGGAGTCACCAATATGGCGTTGGCCCATGAGATTGTAGTCAATGGGGATTTCCAGATAAAGCCCACAGAGCTGCCAGAAGAGAGGTAAAGAAGTTATGGAGTTGTGGGTTTGGTGGTTGTTGGGTTTTAATCAAAAGCACTGCCGTTTCTTCCATTTCTATAGAGATCATTTATATTATATTTAATTATATTAAATATTCTATTTCTGTGTTATATGTGAATATTATATTTATGTCCATTTGTAACATACATCCTTTTCTTTTGCCTCTTTGGTTTCATGTGTGTGAGAGAGATGATTTGCTTTGTTCTTGTCTTACTAAAACATTTCTAAATTAGGGTTCATTGGAATTCGAAAGTGGTTCTGGGAAATAGCCCTTCCTTCTACATACCCCTACACGTGTATCCTGCCTGTGACCTATCCTGGCTGTACGACCATGAACCACTCAGTGTTTTCAACGGCTCTGTTAGACTATTGAGACATAGAAATATGGCTGATCTACATTGATAAAGGGGACTTTCTCATCAGGGAATTCTCTATCCCAGTGAAATCACAGGTCCATTCCCTATGTCTGTGTAGGATGTCAGTGTGTGTATGTGTGTGTGTGTATGTGTGTGTGTGTGTGTGTGTAAGAGAGAAAGAGAGAGAGAGAGAGAGAGAGAGAGAGAGAGAGAGAGAGAGAGAGAGAGAGAGAGAGAGAGAGAGGGCTCAATTACTAATGTCGTTCATTATCCTTTTCTTTGTTCTTTAGGCAAAGACACTTAAGTGCCAGCTTGTGCCTTCATTAGAGAGATATTAGTTAATAAAATAAAATGTATTTGAATTTCACATATCTCACATTTCTTTCCAAGGAGCCCACCCTTAGCTAGCTCCTTCACATGCCAACACAGGGTGAAGGCACAGAACATTAAACAAATTAACATTTAACTTTTTGAGTGAAAATTTAAAAAGAAGAGTAAATCATGAACTTACAAGTTAAGTGCCCTACAGCTGAAAGTCTTTGGACCTCAGGCTATCCTCAGCCCCATGTCTTGAGACAGTTTGTGCTCTGGGGCCCAGATCCCAGAATGGAGAATCAGAATGTCTGTACAGAACCTTATTGTGCTGGGTAGCTCTGTGCTGCTCCCTGGACCAGCAGCTATTGCTGAGCTCTTTGAAGGCTTGTCCTTCTCCAGTGTTGTAGGCTTCAATACTTCAGGGGAATTGTGGCCTCCTCCTTGTTGGTGCTTCCTTCAGTGGTCTAGCCTGGGGCATGAGGCCCAAGGCCTGCATGTGATCCACCACAGTCCCGAGTGCATCCCAATCAGATTAAAATGTAGTTGAGAAGTATTTAACAATAAATAAAAATGCCACAAAACACAGATAATGTTATTACATGATTTTCTAAGTCAATAAGCAGCTAGCAGGCATGCTACTTCGGTTTAGTGGCACTGATTCTAATTGAGTTTGCCCTGCTGGCCTGGAGCACAGCTCATCACCTCCATCTTATCCTGGGGGATTCTTGACCGTGCCCTCTGTCAAAGTCACCTGATGCCTGGAAGATTTCTTCTGGATCTGGTGCAGCGCTCGGGCTGACCACCACCCTGGATGCTTGGCTGGCTGGCCTCCTTTTTTGGATCTTGCATTTCCAGGGTGGTGTCATTGATACCACTTCTGGTATGCTGGTCATCGTTGTTTAAATTCACTTGGCTTCCTGCCATTTTTTTTTTTTGGATTGCCTGTAATAGAGATTATTCTATATTGAGATGTTCTATGATTTACATTATATGGCACACCAGGAAGAATATCATTCTTAAAAGATTCATTTTGTGTCCAGGAGCACTTGTGATCCTTGAAAGCACTGAATGGTTTCCAAAGTGCTACATCGCTATCCCTCTTCCCCTTATTCAGTCCTGAGTGCCATGCATTGTCCATCTCCAGTGTCTTTCCTAGATAGGTAAATAAATGAGGGTGTAACTCAATGGGCTGCGTATCCCAGGTAGCTTTTATCTATTTTGTTTTTTCCTATGTGGAGTGTTAGTATTTGCTGGATTAAGTATTTATTGGCTGAGCAGTTTCTGTCCTCTTTTGGTCTCCTGGCATCACTTGTTTTATGTGAGCTAAACTTTGTTAGTTTGGTCTCTTTTGGGTGGTCATGGATCTCATCAAGGAGCCCTGGTACTCTTCTGGGGTTTGCATTCCATAAAATCTCCCCCACAAATAGGAATGTTTAGAACCTCCCCCCTCCCCCATCCATAGAAATAGATTCTGAGAGGGCATGTCACATGGTGGTGGAGCTCACATCCATCACCCTGTTTCATGCCTTGCTCAGTGACCTTGCTCAGTGCAGGGTAGACACCTTGTAAGAGGGGATCCTATGAGGCAGAATTTTGCTCTAAATCTATGAACCTTTGAACATACTGAGTCCAGTGCCTTTTTCCATAATCAAGAGCGAGTAAACACATTGAGCTCTTGTGTTAAGCCTAAGGATAGAATCTGCCATAGAAGAGAAGTTGTGAAGGGACGTCTGGTCTCTGCTCACATTTCCATCAGATCTACCCTTGTTGTGTTTAATAAAGACTGATAGAGGAAGTAGCCATGTGGGTTAGTAGTTTGTGATTTCCTCTCGATCACCATTTTTGGAGTACTCACATGAAGCTGTCATGTTCTCCACAGGCTCAGTGTCTTCCCCCCATTCATAGTTTTCAAATCCTTCAGTGCTTTCAAAATTGTGTCACTTCCAGGATGGTGTTTGTGTTTACTTGGTCTGATACTCCTGCTGTTGGAGTCTCTTTCTTCATCATTGGTCATCTTTAGCAGCACGTTGGGGGCTGAGGTGGTAAGTGCCTGCCTCGCACAGAGCCTGGGGCTGTACTAGGCTTCAGTAAGCACTCTTGTTGATTGATTCCCATCCAGATATTATTACACTGTTTCAATGATGAAAACAGTCTGTCATAGAAATGCGAACAGATAGGCTCCATTTTTGTCTGCGTGCCCTCATTGAAGTTCAATCTATAAATGCTCTTTTGTGTGTGGCTTGGTTGGGACTCATTCCAATTTTGTGAGGCTTCATTTCCCTTACGCTGTGCTTCGATACTTTGGGGGACAATACTCCTTGTAATCTTATGCCTCTATAAACTTTTAAAAATGCATCTATATTTTAAACCAACATTGTCTAGGCTGCTGTGTCTCTCCTTAACAGAGAGCTCAAGTGTATCCTAGCTGAGATGCTTTCTGTCCTCTTTGGTTTTCTAGTGAATTGTTTTTGTGTAATAATTGTTTTTATGTAAGCTAAACTTTCTGCAGGGAATGATATTCGTCTGTATCTTTTCCTTTATCCACTTCTCATCTGGGGACCATCAGTAACTTCTTTGAATAGGTCAGGTTAGAACAGCTGTAATTGTACACAGCATTCTCCTATCTTAATTCCTGTCTACTAAAGTGTGTGGATTTTGACCTTTGCTTTGATGAGATGAGGAGTGCCTGCAGTCAGCTGATCCTGAAATGACTTACACATTGTTAACCCATCATTTCCTATCAAAATAGAGCCAGATTGTTGTTGTTGTGCTGTTTCATGCTCACTTTCCATCTCTTCTGCAAGACAGTAGTCATGATGTGGAGGGGTGAAGCTTCTGGGTAGCCTACAAGTCTTCAGCCTCTTTTGTTTCTTAATCTTGAGCCATAATTTCCAGATTATTTTGCCATTCTCCCCTGTGCTGGTCCTCTAGCCTGAATCCTTCCCAACTTGGTAAGACAAGAATTCAGGGTCACATCCATGATAAAGCATCAGAGAAGATTGTTACCAGAGGACAGAGAAAATGATCTCTGTCACTGGTCTAGCTATGCCTGGAATTGGCCTGTTTTATCCTGAACTTGTTCAGTTTTTCCCACTTTCATATTTGATAACTAATAAAGTATTTAGCTCTCTGAGTTTACTAATTACTTATATTCAGAGTTCTTGAAACCCAAATGATTCCTTGTTCTTGAGCCTGTAGTTTGGAGTTCAGAGTTTTACACTTTTTTATTTGCTTACAGCTTGGAGAAGAGGGTCAGGGAGATTGTCCATAAAGCCTTCTGGGATTGCTTGAGTGTCCAGCTAAGCGAAGACCCACCGACTTATGACCATGCCATCAAGCTTGTTGGGGAGATCAGAGAGGTAAGGAGGAAGAGAAGTTCATCCACAGCTCATCACATTTCAGATGTGATGTTTTCCCACTGGGTTAACCCTCTCTGAATCCCTGGACTAAAGGTTTTATTATGCCCATTTTATAGCTAAAAAGACAAAAGGATCATGATGACGGTTTTCTCCACTGCATCCTGCTGCCATGGTGGTCTCAGGGCCTGCAGTGATAGAAATGTTTGCCAAAGCCATCACTGTGACCGCAAACTAAGAGAAGCGTTACTGCAAAAGTAACTGAAATTCAGTCATTTTATTTTATTACTTTATTGTGGTTATTTATAGTTTCGGTAATTTCCAGTGCATCTTAGCAATACAGCAAGATTAAACACTTCTTCAAATCCTGGCTTTGGGATGATTGAGAGAAGAGGTGGGGAAGAATTATACTCTACTTTTCAATCACAGTCACCAAGAAAAGAAGAACATTTTTTTATTACAGAATCACAGTGTAAGAAGGGATCCCAAAGGTTATTTAGGTCCCACCTTCTTATAATATAGATCGAAGGAACCTAGGTTTAAGAGCTGAAGATTTAATCCAATTCCTCCATTTTACAAATGTGGAAACTGAGGCCCAGAGAGGTTGTGATTTGGCCAAGATTATGTCTCTAACAGGTGGTGGAGGCAAGATTGAAACTTGGTGTTCCCTGCCTCCAAGTCTAGTGACCCTTCTGTGCTGGCTGGAGTCTTTAAAGTTAAGCAGATGAAATCCAATCCCTTCTGTTTCTCCCTAAAGTGGTTTGTCCATTCCTGCGTGGAATCAGAGATGAAACAGCAAAGCGTTTCCCAGTCTGGCTCTCTGTTAGTCATTATGTGGATCATGGTGGAATTCCTCTGTAGGTCCACAGCCAGTGCGCTGTCTGAGAAATGCTGATTAAGTTTTACTCTGCTTTCTTTTAGACCCTCTTATCTTTCTTGCTGCCTGGTCACAGTAGATTGAGAAACCAGATCAGAGAAGTCCTCGACCTGGACCTGATAAAGCAGGAGGCGGAGAATGGAGCCCTGGACATTTCCAGGCTGGCTGAATTCATCATTGGGATGATGGGAACGCTCTGTGCCCCAGCTAGAGATGAGGAGATTAAGAAACTGAAGGACATTAAGGAAATAGTTCCCCTTTTCAGGTACAAAAATCGCCTTAAATGGGAAGGTGTTTGTGAACTATGGATCCTGTCTTTGGAGCTAGACTTGGAGATGGGGAAAAGGAGTCCTCTTTCCTCTTGTAGAATGGGTATGCCAGAAAATGCCCTCTGTGCCCTCTGGGGGAGCTGTCTAATCACTTCCCGCCTCCTCAAGCAGAATGAAAGCTCCTTGAGGGCAGGAATTATTTTTGCATTTTGTCCATGTATTCCCAGAGCCTAGCACAGAGTTTTGCTTACAATAAGTGCTTAATAATTGCCCATCCCCAAATTGGGCTGAGCTGATGAAGTCATTCTGTAAGGCTTTTTGCTCCCCCTGACTGTTCATTTTTGAATACTAACCTCTGCTCACTTCCTATTTATTTCCAACCTGCTCTTTGGCCATCATAAAAAAAGAATCCTATCCCTCCATCTGTCAAGAGAGGTACCAGTCCGTGAGTATCAGTCCCTCCACCATGAGATTTGGGACCTTAACCATGTGGGTGGAGATTTGAATCCATACCTTCTCATCCTATACCAAGGACAGGGAGAGAATATAATTTCTAAAAGTGTTTTTTGTGATTTAAGTTGACAACAATAACTATATAGGTAGCAAAAACGAGACCACATTTATGTATACTTTAAAGTTTGTGGAGGGCGTTACATATATTTATCTCATTTGAGCCTCTCCACAACCCTGTAAAATGGGTCTTAAAAGTCTTACCACACCTATTGAACCTATGAGGATGCTGAGGTTAAGTGAAGTGAGTTCCCCCGGGGTCACACAGCTCATGTGATAAATTTGGAGCCTTTTCTCCCTGACTGACTCAAAATTGATCACCGTCCTCAATGAACGCCTTCTCAAAGGAAGCCATTTTAAAATGGTGAGGTCTCTAGGCAAGGAAGGAATTTCCCAGTGGAGATTCCCCTGGAGAAAATTCAGATCAGTGTCTGGTTCCTTGTAAGTGGGCTATGGGAACGTTCTGGCAGGAACGTCTCAGTGATAACAAGAGTTTACATTCTAAGTGGCTTTGGGGTTTCCAAAACAACCCCGTGAAGTAGGTGAGAGAGTTGTAGAGCTGTTATTTAAGAGCCCCATTTTCCAGTTGAAGAAAATGAGGCTTAGGGGGGTTAATTGATTTGCCTACCAGGGTCATATGACTTACAAGGATCAGGGACAGGATTTGGACCTAGGGTTCTCCTGATTGCCCAGATACGAGTTATGATGATGGTGTGTTACAACACAGGTGTCTGTTTACATTCTGATGAAAACCTTGAAGTGGTGACCTGCCAATTCCAAAGATAAATGGTTTCTTTGTAGAACATTAAACATTTGTGCCAGTCCCATAGGAAACCCTCCCCCATCTCCCCCCAGCCGGAGCTGGAGCCCAAGAGCCAGCTTCAGCTAGCTTCGGCAAGGGCATCGAAGGCATGCCTGGTCCAGAGGCGTTTGGCTTCTTTCCACGTCCACCAGGAGAGCATTGGGCCCTGGCCTGGTTCAGAAACTCAGGACGCGATTGGTCAGTGCCCTCAAGGCCTCCTCAGCCATGCCTAGTGTAGAGAAAGAAACAAGTCGAGGGCCTGAGTGTTTGCTTTTCATCTCGGGCACTTTAGAGGGCAGGGAGAGAATATTATTTCTACAACATCATATCTGTCCCTGTAACTCTGTAGTATGGGAGGGAGAGTCTGTTAATGTGTCATCACATCTAGTATAATCATAATCACAGGACTTGATGGTTCTTAAGAAGATGTTTATTGCACTCCCTTCCCCTGGGCAGGGCAGGGCCTAAATTGGCATACCAACACCACCTCATGTTCCCGAGTTGCTTGATTGGTACTTCAAGTCCTCCGGGATTGGAGCTGGCCAGGCTTCAGAGGTCATCCAGCCCCTCTGTCCCAGTTTTCAGATGAGGAAGGTCCTTTGGGAACCTGTCCAGAGTCATGATGGCGCCCGCCATCCATCCTCAAGGCTTACGAAATGTTCTCAGAACCAATAAAAATTAGTTGTGGATAATTATGGTGGGAGCTTCTTCATAGGGGTGTTGCTGTATGGCCTATGTCCCAGCCAGAGTTGAGGCTTGGAGCCAGCCTGTCTCTGATTTCAGCATCGCCTTAAAGATTCTCTGCTCCCTCTCCCTCAGGAGTAGGGCTGGAAACAGCTGTGTGTGGAGCGTCTTTCTGACCGATGTAAACGGAGCCTGTGCTGTTCACCACGTCCTTGGGACGTGCGAGGCCCTGCAGACAAGTACAAGCACAAAGATGCTTTTTTTCTTCCCCTTCATCCCTTGCTGTCCCTTTGCAGTTGGTCTGAAGGGCACTTATCCCTTTGAGCAGTTACAGATTCCTGCCTGGGTCTAGGAAAACATGTTTCGAAAGGGGATGGGATCATAGACTTTAATGGCAAACAAGGCTTTAGACAGGGGTTCTTTACGTAGGCTCCAGAAGCCCTTTTTTAAAAAAAAATGTTGATAATTGTATTTCAGGATAATTGGTTTATTTTGTAGTCTTATGTGTTTTATGTATTTAAAAGCATTATTCTGAGAACGGTTCCATGAGCTTCTCTAGACAACCCAAGGCCCATAGGTCCACCTGTAACCCAGAAAAGGTGGAGAATCCCATGCCTTAGAGACTGCCTGGGCATTTTACCAATTTGGAACCTGTGTCCCAGAGAAGGGAAGGGATTTGTCCAAGGCCTTGCAGGGGGGTGTAACTATAGCAGGACCTGGGTCTCAAACCCAGGTCCCCAGGCTGTGCTCCTTCTCTTTCGCTGTCTGGGTCTAACCACCCCCCTGAGACCCCCGATAGGTGATAAATGAGCTGCCATTCCTGAAGGCACCTTCTCCAAGGTGTTTAAAGACTGAAGGGCTTCTGTCTTTAACTGCCACCGTTTGGGACATCTTCATGCTTTAAAATGAAACAACCAGGCTGTGAATGTCACGAAGAATTGAGAGAACCATGAGAAGGTTTTTATTCGTTGCTACAGAGCCAGAAAGCACACCAGAAGTGTACTAAACGACCCTCACAATTGAAATGAAAAGCTCCCTCCAAAGAAGCTATATTTGGAGGAATCAAAAAGCTGGGGAGGCCCACAGTCACCGGGCTGCCCTCAGACATTTTTTGCTCTATTGTTCCTTTGTCGAAGGAAGTGTTTGATCTGGGGCTGGGAGGGGAGAGGTTCCCCCTAGAAATGGCTGTGAGGATCCGACAGACACAGCAGCAGAGGCGGGCAGCTAGGGGCCCACGGTCAGGCCTGTCTGCTTGTCATGTGGGCGTAGCACTAAAAAGTCTTTTCCTTCTGCCTTGCAGGGCAATGTTTTCCGTGCTAGACCTAATGAAGGTAGACATGGCTAACTTTGCTGTCAGTAGCATTAGGCCGCATCTCATGCACCAGTCAGTTGAATATGAAAGGAAGAAGTTTCAAGAATTTTTCGAGAAGCAACCAAGTACGTTTCAGCTTTCCGTGATGTTCTTGTGCTTTCTCGATCTTGGTTGCAGTCCTCTTCCCTCCCCTCTCCCCTTGACCAGCTCTCCTTTTCGCTTGGCCCTTGGACCCTTCCCAGGCAGGCTGCAGCCCCCTCCGTCTCCCAAGTCCCCGACTTCCTTAAAGGTTCAGCTCATGCCACGTGTAAGAGGAAGCCTCCCCGGACCCCTCAGCCTCTGCACCTTCAATGTTTTTTATACCTGACTCTTTATGTACATGCTGTAGACCTGTAGAGTTGTGCGCCCTGAGGGTTGGGACTGTTTTTAGTCTTTCCATCCATGATTCCTAAGCAAGAGGGTCAGTGGGGCCATGAACCTTTGAAATAGAAGTGTGTGTGTCTCTCTCTTCCCCACTGCTAGACTATATGCCCCTTGAGGAGAGGGAATCTTGTTTTTTTCTGTTTTCTACTAGTGCCTTGCATAGGGCATTGTATGCAGCAGGCACTCAGCGCATGTTTATGAAATGAAATTGGAAAAAATTTTGGGTATGCTAAAAAAGTGTCAGACCTCCCCCAAATGCCAGCCTAGATGTGGTAGTTGAAGACCTTTCTGCTTTTTTGTCTGGTTGGTTTTTTTCTTACTCTCAGAATAGACCATAAACGCGTTTTAAAACATTTGTTTGAATTGTCTTGGGCAGAGATAGTTGTAGCAGCCACAGCCATCCAATCCAACAAACAGTTATTAAATGCCTACTGTGTGCAAGGTAATGGGGTTAAAAGCGAAAATGAAATCATTCCAGCCCTCAGGGAGCATTCGTTCTATTTTCAGGATGTATATGCACACAGATGAATAAATAAAGAATGTTTACAAAGTCATACCGTGAAGGAAAGAGCAGAATCCAGAAAGACTTCCTGTAGGAGGTAGCCCCTGAGCCGTGCTTCGAGGGAAGGTAGGGATTTTAAGGTGGATGAGGGAGTATGTTCTAGCCATGGAATGCCCCCTGTGCAGAGGTGGGAAATGAAACGTCCCAGGACCGCAGATGTAGAGCTTGAAGGTACCTTGGAGATCACCTAGTCGAGCCCCTTCCTTTGACAGATGAGGAAACAGAGGCAAGACAGGGGAGGAGACTTGCCCACGGTCCCACAGGTACCAGACAGCCCCCCTGACTCAACGCCCCAATCCAGCATCCTTTCCACTACAGCTTGATGGAAACAGAGAGTGTGTGAAGGGGAAAGTAGAAAAGGTGGCTGAGAGTAGCATTTCAGCCTAGAGCAGCCGGTCAGCCGAGGCACATGGCCATTCCTAGAGTTTTGTCTGTTCATTGTTGCTGGGAGGGCATTTGCCTTTCTTCCAAGGGAGCCTCCCTCTGGTCTCCCGCCTGCCCTGAGAGGAGGGGACTAAAAGACTGCCTTTGCATGCAACACATTCCCCAGAGACATCCCCCCTAACTCTGTCTTCTCCTTCACAGATGCCCTTGACTTTGTCACCCAGTGGCTAGAAGAGGCCTCGGAAGACCTCATTAATCAGAGGAACAAAAATTCCCTGATGGCTGGGGAGGGTGCTCGGGGCCCTGAGGAGATGGCCGCACCATGCTTTCTGACCGTTCAGAACCATGCCTACATGAAGCTTCTGAAGTGGGACCATCTGCACCGACCCTTCCCCGAAGTACGTCCCAGGGAGGGGGGCAGCTCACTCTGCCTGGCCTCTGTTTCTGTCTGTCCCATTGAACAGCCTGCCCCCTGGTTTCCAGCCACGGGCATCCCCTTGGTGAGGCTTTTGGGACAAACGGTATTATTTCAAGAAGATTCCCCTACTTGCCACTGTTGACTTTTTTATTAGTGAGGGATTACCTGTTTGCCAGGCAAATACCTGTTATCTAGAAAATGCATTGTTTGTTTAGAGTGAATTCAAAGCCTTCTTCTTTCCAGGGTTAGCCCCTGCTGGTCTTCTGAATGTCCGCTAGTCCTATGTTTTAAATGCTGTGAGGAGCTTTTGGAAAGCCCTGGGAACTTGAGTTTTCCACTCTTGTCTTTAAATTCCTAAGCCAGTGAGGCCCATGGGAGAGAGCCTGAAGAAAAGAGGGAGGCTGGCCTCCCATGTGGAAGTCCCTGGAAGGATACAGAGGTGGAAGTGGAGTGGGTCCTGGGAAGAGCTCTAGGCTCTCGCATCTCAGGCTGAACCCACCTGTGACAGATGGGAGGGTCTGCTTTAGGGAAAGAGGGCTGTTTTCCTCTCCAAGGTAATCACAATTTACCGTGAAGACAAATACCACTTCCAGGATGCCGAAAAGCCGAGGGTATTATCTTTCAATAAGGTTAAAACCAAGAGACAGAGAAGAGCCGCCCCCTCCTCCCCCCGATTTAAACATCTCACTGGACCTTTCAAGAGCAGGGGCTCCTGCCCTCTGAATGTGGGTCTTAGCTTCTTAAACGTAATGGGGAAGAGTTCGGGCGCCATCTTGGAGCTGCAGGGACCGTAGAGTCTTTGGGGTGTTTGGGAACATCAGAGCTGGAAGGAACCTTAAAACACAGGGTGTCAGAGCCGGAAGGGGGCCTCATCCAGCCTTCTGATTACAAAGGAGGAAATGGACCGCCGAGGTTAAGAGGCGTGTCTGTTTCATCTTAAGTAGCGGTCAGGAGCAGCATTGAGAACTGACTTGGAGACCTGTCCAGCCTTTCCACTGCCCCGCCCAGTACGCAGTCTGTGGCTTCTATCTTTGTGACCTCTCTCTGACCCTGCCACCCTCATGTAGGCCCTCCTCCCCTCCCGCCCGGATCATTGCCATAGCCTGCTGGGATGTCTGCCTGCTCCCACTGCAGTCCGGCCTGATCATACAGTGGCTCCTCCTTGTCTCCAGGATCATATAAAAAATCCTTGGGCTTGTAAAGCTCGTCACAACCTGGCCCTGCCCTCCCTTTCCAGTCTTCTCACACCTCATTCTGCTACACCGTGAGGCTGACTGCCCCCATGCCTGGGACACTCTACTTCATCACTGCCACCTCCTGGCCTCCTTGGCTTGCTTCAGTCCCTGTGGAAAATCCTACCTTCTCCAGGAAGCCTCTCCCGGTCCTCCTCCGTCGGAGTGCCTTCCCGCTGAGCCCGTCTCCAGTATATCCCGTCTGTACCTTGTTCATGCATAGCATATTGTCTCCCTGTTAGGCTGGGAGCTTCTTGAGACCACGGACTGGTCTCTTTTGCCTTCCTTTGTATCTGTGGTGCTTAGCATAGAGCCTGGTACGCAGTAGGCACTTAATGTGTGCTGACTTGAACCCTTACTATCTTGGTTGTGACGTTCAGAGCCTAGAGCTCTCAGTATAAAGTATCATGAGGAGACCCACTGACTTCTTCAGAATGACCTTGAGTGTTAGTGATCTTATTTTAGTCCCTTTCTTTTCTTTTGGGACTTCTTTTATCATTAAAAAATAAAATAATAACTAGCATTTATGTAGCAATTTAAGGTTTGCAGATCACTATACAAATGTCATTTGATCCTCACAATAATCTTGTTAGGTAGGTGCTATTATTATCCTCATTTTTAGATGAAGAAACTGAGGCAGAGAGAGGTTAACTTGTCTAGACTCACATAGGCAGGATTGGAACTCAAGTCCTTCTGACTAGCACACTGTGCCACCAGATTTATTGACTTACCTCTATTATGTTCAAAGCACTTCAGAGGATACGGGGATGGCAAAAATAATTTCTTTTCTCCTGCTTTAAAGTCTGCCAAGCACTTTCTAATAGTGCTCATGGGAGGCTGGTATCATTGTTTCAGATGAGGAAACCAAGGCTGGGCACTGTTGGTGATTTGCCCAGAATCACATAGCTAGTACATGTTGGGTGAGGGCTTTGGACTCAAGTGCTGTCTGGCCTCTCCTGCTGCCTCCTCCTCCCTCTCCCCATCTAGGTTGGAAGCTTCCAACCCCCATCTCCCGTGCCCCCCTTTTATTTCTAAGTATGAGGATCCTCTAGAGTAATTAGAATGCAAGAGTCATGTGGCAAGAAGTGCCCAAGTCAACCCATCCATGGTGATGGCCATTACCTAGGGCCCTGCCTGGATAGCACTATGACTTCTGCGCCCTCTGCTGGTCAGCCCCCAGATCGGGGTGCTGATGGCTGCCCTGTTCTGCTATAGACTGTCCTGATGGATCAGCCCCAGATTGGGGTGCTGATGGCTGCCCTGTTCTGCTATAGACTGTCCTGATGGACCAGCCCCCGATTGGGGTGTTGTTGGCTGCCCTGTTCTGCTATAGACTGTCCTGATGGACCAGCCCCAGATCGGGGTGCTGATGGCTGCTGTGTTCTGTTATAGACTTTCCTGATGGACCAGCCCCAGATTGGGGTGCTGATGGCTGCCTTGTGTTGTAGACTGTCCTGATGGACCAGCCCTAAGTTGGGTGTTGATGGCTGCCATGTTCTGTTATAGACTGTCCTGATGGACCAGCCCCGCTTCCAGGAGATGCAGCAGGAGCTCGAGAAGCTCAGCGTGGTGGGGGCAACCTTGTTGGTCACCTATAGTGCCTCAGCCCCAGGGGTGTCCAGCCTCGCAGGCTTTGCTGAGAAACTCAAGATGGTCGTCCAGGTCCTGCTGACAGACATGCATCTGCCGTAAGTGACCAGGGAGGCGTGGGGTAGCACCAGGGACAGCTCAGCCTTTCTTCATGAATCTTCCTCAGGAGGGTAAGAGGAGTGAAGCCCTGAGCATGCACCTCCTGGGAGCTGACCTCTGGGAATCTGAGGGATGACTAATAGTCGTTTTCATCTGTTTAAAAGTGCAGCTCCCCTTTCTCTCCCTCTGCCATTTCCCCTCCCTCTTCCTTCCTCCCTCCCTTGTTCTCTCTCTCCCTCTCCCTTTTACCCCCTCCCCTCCACTCCCCCTGCAGCCCCCTGGGCATCCAGCCCTCCACTCAGATGGCTTGTCCAGACCTTGTTCCAGCTTTGTGCTTGGTAAGATTCTGCAGGTTTTGGGTCTTTAGGAGAGTCTGTGACTCCATAAAGGACCCATACCTGAGCTTTTAACTGCTGCTGGTGAGGTCAAATTGGTGGCTGACTAGAAACAAATGAAACCGTCTCTTTCCTCTGAATGTCCCACCCTTCTGCTCCCGAGTCCCTTAAGGACAGAAAGCAGAAGCCAGACACGGTGTGGAGATGCCCCCTGCCAGGGGTTTCCGGTGCTACTGGAAACTCTGGACAAGAGAGAGGTTTTAGGTTCCATTTAAAGCCAGGCTTAATGACACAGATGGATCATAGTTATGGGCCCCAGTCTCTCTATATAGAATCCAACATTACCAGACCCTCCCCTTCCTCCAGATTTTGGGAAGAAGAGGATGAACCAGAATGTCCTCAATGGGTCATGAATTCACTAAGACAGGCTTGGGAGGGAGAGAGGAGACTCTAGGCATCTTCTGGCAGCACTAAGCAAATTCCTTAGGTACCTTGGCTGTCTTCAGAGGCATGGGCTGAGTGGCCCTGGTGTCTGGATGTGTTTGGCGACATGTCTGCGCCCTTCCCAGCCCCCAGCTGATTCCTTCTCATCCCATTTCTTCTCTAGAGCCTTTAATCTGAACGAAGCCCTTGCCACCATTGGGGAGAAAGTGTGCGTGGAGGTGACTGGCTGCCTGGCCCAGTGTGGATTCACCCCTTTCAGTGCCGACAAGGAAATAGCCCTAAAAGGACAGATCCAAGCAATTGCCAGCCCTGATGACCCCATTCGCAAGCTTGTGGGTATGTTGGGAGGGTCCCGGCAACAGCTGGGTGTGTTTCCTATGGGGAGCTTGCTGACTGATGGGAGCATGGTCATGGCCAGTGGGGGTGGGAGGCAGAGAGGGGTCCACTCTGTGAGATCTTGGGACTTAGCACTGGCAAGCCATCCGGGGCAAGGAGTCCTAATCTTTTGCGTGTCATGGGCCCCTTTGGCAGTCTGGAGATACCTACAGCCTCTTCTATGAATAATGCTTTTAAAGGAACAGAATAAAATACAGAGGATTACAAAAGAAACCAATTATATTGAAATACATTTCTAAAAACACTTTTTTTAAAAGCTCACAAATTCCACATTAAGGACCCCTAAATTAGGCTAAGCCTCGTTTTTACTGATGATGAAACTGAGGGCCCAAGAAGGGCAGTGAGTTGTCCAGGGTGAGCCAGGCTGTGACCCTGAGACCTTGGACTCCTTCCAAGTGATGCCCCTAAAGGGCAGGCCATAGGCAGAGGGAAAGTCTAACACACACTGAAATGTTGACAGAAATGCAATTCGAGGGAGCCAAATCCTGGGAGACATCATGACCACGCATGTGACACTCAGGACTGTGAAGGCTTGGGTAAACTGAGGCAGAGTGAAGTAAGCAGGACCAGGACCACAGTGATGTAAATACAGCTCTCTGGCCAGGTTGGGCTTTCTTGGCACAAGGCTTAAAGTCTATGGGGCCACCATTATGATGTTCATAGAGTGGGAGGCAGAAGGAACCTCAGAAGTCACCGGGACCAAACCCCTCATTTTAGAGATGCAGAACGTTTAGGGATCTGCCCTAAGTCACACAGGAAGTAACAAGCAGCATTTGAACCCAGGGCCTCTGACCCTACACCTAATACTTCAATGACAAGTGCCTCAGAGGCTCAGCTTTCAGGAAACCACGCTCTGCTTGTTCTCAGTCTTCCGGGGCCAACAAGGACATTCACCTCGACCTTGGAACAGAGACATTGGCATCACACAAAGAGTGAAAGCTCTTTGGCACTTCAGGGACTGTCATTAAGAACTTTATTTGCCATTGGTGGCAAAGGGCAGCCATGACAGTTAGTGGTCATTTCCAACAGTGGGCATGTCTGACAGTAGGCTGTTGACCGCGTTTGTGTTTTGAATGGCAATCACGGGGTCACTTAGAGTGGGGTCATTCGGCAAAGACTTGGCTGATGCCAATGTCTCTGTTCCAAGGTCGAGGTGAATGTCCTTGTTGGCCCCGGAAGACTGAGAACAAGCAGAGCGTGGTTTCCTGAAAGCTGAGCCTCTGAGGCACTTGTCATTGAAGTATTAGGTGTAGGGTCAGAGGCCCTGGGTTCAAATGCTGCTTGTTGCTTCCTGTGTGACTTAGGGCAGATCCCTAAACGTTCTGCATCTCTAAAATGAGGGGTTTGGTCCCGGTGACTTCTGAGGTTCCTTCTGCCTCCCACTCTATGAACATCATAATGGTGGCCCCATAGACTTTAAACCTTGTGCCAAGAAAGCCCAACCTGGCCAGAGAGCTGTATTTACATCACTGTGGTCCTGGTCCTGCTTACTTCACTCTGCCTCAGTTTACCCAAGCCTTCACAGTCCTGAGTGTCACATGCGTGGTCATGATGTCTCCCAGGATTTGGCTCCCTCGAATTGCATTTCTGTCAACATTTCAGTGTGTGTTAGACTTTCCCTCTGCCTATGGCCTGCCTGGGATATGTGCCCTTTAGGGGCATCACTGGATCAAAGGGCAGTGAACCATTTAATCATTTTTAGCATCATTCCCAATTGCTCTCCAGGATGGCCAGACTGATTCGCAGGTCCACCAACAATGTATCCGTGTGCCTGCCTGCCCACAACTATCTCATATTGACTGTTAATATCTTTAATCAGCTCCAAGGTGGAGTCTCGAGAGCTGTTGTCATTCCAATTTCCTTTGTTCTTTGTGGCTTGACATATGAGGCACTAGGACTGTTGGAGAAAGGCTGTGTTTCTGTTCTGTTCTGCCCAGAGACCATCTCTCCTTCTGTGTAGCATTGACTGGTGGTGTGGTCCACAAGCGTGTCTTCTGGCATTCCTTTGAGGGAAGCTCCCCAGGCGGGTTTTGATGTCTGCATAGTGCCTGGCACTCAGTAGTAGGCAGGCACTCTGTGCCTATCGGTGCCCGTCCGTCCATTCTCCCGTGTCATGATCACCTCTCTTTTGTTTCTGTCTCAGATGCCAGAATCCAGGCCTTCTTGGAGGCTTACCTTGCCTCTGGTCTCCAGAAGTCACTACCCGCAGTTCCTGGGGGCTTAGGCCCTATCCAGAAAGAATTGGAAGAGGTGGCTGTCAAGTTTGCACGTCTGGTCAACTACAACAGGATGGTCTTCAGTCCTTACTATGACGCCATCCTCAGTAAGATATTCAAGCCGGAGGGCTCCCGCATCTCAATCAGCTTGTAGAGGGTCCCGACCCCTGCCGGCAGCAGCAGCAACAGTGTTTATCTAGTTGGCTACCGACCCCTCTTCTCTACTATAACGTTGCTCTGGAAAATGGCTTTCTCTTTAATACATTCCCTTTCTCAGTATTGATTCTAAAAGGGAAAACGTGTCACCATAGGACAACAAGAAAAGAGATGCCCTGTACTCCGAATTCCGTTCTGGGGGCGCTGTATGTACTTATGAGTGGACGTTTACAAGCTGAAGGAACTTCCATTTTTGTGGGCTCTCAGGAGAACGCTGGGCTCAGAAGGAGCTGAGCTGGCCCCACCTCTTCCGTGTCAGGATGGACCTTTGTTGCTGGAAGGCTCACCGTCTTTCCTGGGGCCAGGGTAGCTTCTGCTCTAGACACTCAGTGGGCATAGGCAGGAAAAGGTCAAGCGAGCTCGCTGCGAGCCCTTGAAGCTTGCCGCTGGAGAGTCCTGGGTGGAGCTGGACCGCGGGGAAAATTACCTCTAGCCTTGCTGTTTCTCCTGGTTTTCCTTCTGGGGATTTCTCCCTGCCAGGCCAAATGGGCCCTCTGGGTGCTGGAAGGATTCACATTTTTCTAGAGAATTTTTTTCTGGTTATCAGGAACTCATTGTTTGCCATAGAATGATCCCCAAGCCTGGATTGTGGCAACTCAGACCCTTGGGGCCTGGAGAAGAGGAATTTCTTCCACCCTTTGGAGTGCTTGGGATTTGGGGGGGTTCATTTTTAGGGGGAAAAGATGCAAATTTGATGTCATTCTGAAGATGGACAGAAGAAGTGTGATTTTCCCTTGAGGCTTAGATTGAGATCTTACTTTCTAGTACAATGGACAGGATGGGAGTGATGAGTCCTGAGGTCTGGGGGTGAGGGCAGAATTTTCTGAGCTCACTAAATGCTCTTCATTCTTGCAGAAGAGGTTAAATGGGGTGTGTACAACCTTTGTCCCAGATGCAGCCCTAGCTTTAGAGACTGTCCTTTGAACCTGCTCCCTGGGCAGTAAATGGGTAACAGCTTGGGGTCATGGGCTCGACCTTTTAAACACATGCACTTCAGAGAAGCCCAGCATCGGTGTAGCTGGTTGGGAGGTATTCCCCCACTGCCAGCTCCCACCTGGCCTGAAACCTTGGTGCAGGACCGGCCTCACTGTCCCCTAGGTGTATGCTGTGTAGTCAGGGGCAGGATCCCCGTTCCTTTTGTATCTGGGGTTAGGTTCGGCTCTGCCCCAAATGGTGTGAAAGCAAGAATAAGCTGCAATAATGGGGCTGTCCTCTGCACTCAAAGTCCAGGTTCTGAAACTCTCATTCAAGGCAACTTTTAAATAACTTCTTGTGGAACTATTGGGGAAAATAGAGAAAGGATAGGATTTTAGGCAAAATCAGACCATTGACCAGCAGGAGAGGAACCAGGAGCTTTGGCAAAGACTTGGGAACAGATTGAGGAAGGCGCAGATGCTGGAGGCGGGGGCGAGCAGGCTTTAGAGAAGCAGCCAGTTTGAGCCCCAGGAGGTAGTAGGTAGGCAGGTGCTGCAGGAAGGGAGCCAGGAGGGAAGCACATACAGGAGGGGATTGACACCCGACCCGCTGGGTCGGCCTAAATCCTACCCGTCGGCATGCAGATTTCAGAAGTTCCCATAGTTTCAACAAAGGAGTTGGGTGAAGCCCCAGGAGCAGAGGAGGAAATAGACAAAGGCAGCAAGTGACGGCTTTAGACAAACAGGGCTACCTTTTAGCTCCCATTTCTTGCTGGAAGAGTGAGGGGGAAAAAAAGAGCAAACTCGGCATCAGTCGATTCAGGGTGACTGGGCAATGAGGGCTGAATCACAGGACCCTTTCAACCACGAGGCCGCCTGTCCAGCCGGCCCTCTCACGGCCTTAGATAGCGTCTCCGGAAAACCCGGCCATTGTGCATTAGGTCTGCCCTTCCTAGCAAAGCAGATCTCCACCTTAATTTGTCATGGGCTCTTTGAGCAACGCAGTGAAGCCTGCTCTTCTCAGAATGCTGCCCTTAAATGCATAAAGTAAATTAAATAGGATTATAAAGGAAACCAATTACAAATGCTACTATCAAAATATTTTTTAAAAACCAAGTTTGAGGACCCCAGGTGGACGATCTGGACGTTGTTTGAGGCAGCATCTAGGTGACAGAGAATGGGGGCCCGCGTAGGGGGAGGGAAAGGAGGTCCTGGGAAATCCTCATTCATACTGACAAGACCACCTCTGCTTCTACTTCCTGGTTGTATAGATGAAGAAACAGGCCCAGAGAGGGGAGTGATTTGTGCAGGGTCATGGGGGCCATTATGCAGCAGAGCCTGGGATCCCACCAGGTCCTTTGACTCCAAATCCAAGGTGTTTACCTCTCACCCAACTGCCTCAAAACCCGTAGCTCCACAAACGAAACTGCCATGTGATACAGTCAGTGGAAGGCCCGAGCAAGGCTTCTGACAATGTAGCCTGGGGTGGCAGCTCAGGGTGGGGGGGATTCTTTTAAAAGGCCAGAGGGATGAGGGCCAGTGATTTGGAGTAATGGACACAGAGGGAGGTTAGACCAAGCAATGTTATGGAAGAAAGAAGTCAGGAGCCTTTCTTTTCTGGTTCTGGTGACTCCCCCCTGATGGAGCAGCCTTCTGAGCCTCTGTTCCTGGTGGGTGATTCTTCCTCCGGACAGTTAAGGCCCTAACCTTCTCCCCCCAAAAGTAATAAAGCTACCAGAATGATGCAGATGACTTTTCCCCTGTGGTTCTGGTTGAAGTTAGGGGCAAAAAAGATTCTTTTTTTACCTTCCTAAAGTATTTTGAGTCCTCATTCATTGCCAGTAATTCTTCAGGGGTGAACGTGGGACAGTTTGGAGTGTTGATGCCTAGGGGCATCACAGGAAGGTTGGGGAGGCTGGCTGAGTCCCCTGGGCACCTAAAACAGAGGCTGGCTGAGGATACTCGGGTCATTTCCCATGCAAAGATGAGTTAGCCTCGATGGTCACTGTGGTCTCTCCCAACACTGAGGATCCAAATGTCTGTGGGGTTTCCTGCCACCTTTTCTTCGGTGGTTTTGTGGATTCGTTTTCTTCTGGAGTTCTCACGGAGTTAACATTGAGATGGGGTGATATTACAAACCCTTTAGTCGTGAAAGGTTTTCATTTAGCTGAATTGGGTCATTGCACAGTGACAAGCCAGGTCTGTGCTAACCGATGCCATGGAGGGGAGGCTGGGAAGGGGGGTAGGTGGAGGAGGCTGAATTCTTTTGTCTTTTAGCCCTTTCTGGAGAGGGCCAAGCTTGCCTTGGCACAGACAGAGACTGGTAATGTGGAAGGAACATCGGCTTTGGAGAGAGACCTGGGTTCGTATTCCAGCCCTGATGCTTCCCACCTGTGAGACCTCAGGCAGGTCACTCGGCCTTCATGGGCCCCTCCCCTGGAAGACACGGGCCTTGGACCAGATGACTTCCAGAGCTCCTAGCTCTGGGATCCTGGGATTAGTGGGCATGCTGTAGGCATGTGAGGTTTTGTTTCAAGGATCTGTAAAAATGGAGTGGGAGTTACAAGAAGCAGGCCCCTAGTGGGCAATGGTTGGATAAGTGAATGATGGCCAGCAGCAGAGGGTTCAGAGGTGGGTGATGTTGATATTCTTGTCCCTATTTCGCTGATGAGTAGTTAGGCTTAGGGAGAAATGACTTGTCCAAGGTCAGTACATCTCAAAAAGGGTCCAGGCTGGGACTCGGAGCCTCAGGTCTTCAGACTCATGTCTGGCATTTTTTTTTTGCCACTTTGCCATATGCATAGTAGTAGTTTATGATCTCATTTTGCTTCTTAATTGAATTTTTCCAGTTAACAAAATTTTATTTTTTTTCCCCTTACACCCTTCCAGGAAAGAAAGGCAGAAAAACAAAGCTCTTTAAACAAATACGCATCATCAAGCAGAATAAATTCTTACATTGGCCATGACTGAAAAATGTGTGTCTCACCCTGCACCCCAAGTCCACCATTTGTCTGTCAGCAGGTGGGCCACAGAGCTCCTTTCTTTTAAAGAAATACTGCAGTTCCGTAGACAGGATTCTTTGTGTGAATTTGAAATCCAAGTGGAAATGTCAGTGTAAAGACAGCGTGGATGTGGGTCAGTGTGAAAATCATAGATTTACCACGGAGGCACAACAGTCCATGTCCAGTGACGAAGGCATCTAATAATGGCTGTCCCTGGTTCATAATTAGAGCTTCCAGGGGTCCCCAGCCTTTTCGGGGAAAGGGCCCCCCAGCCTTGCTGAGGATAGGAGAATGTACTAGCAGTTGGTAGTAAAGTCCCCTTAGAATCTCGACATTCGTTGAGTCTTCATTTTTACATGTTGAATGCCTGAAGACCAGGAAGGTGAAGTGATGTTGGTTCGAGACTGCCAGAGTAGTAAGAGTGGCCGTGTGAAGGTACTGAGTGGGGAAGGGACACCACTGTCAGGTAAGACCTGGGGAGGCAGGGAGGCCAGGCCTGCTGCTGCAGGCTCTGAACTTGGCCATGATGCTTCAGAAAGCACAGAGTTCGACCCTTTGTTATAAGGCAGCCCAGTCTCAAGCCCGCTGGTAGGAGAAGGGGGAAACCTGAGCTTTGGTTCTAGGCTTGTCCCTTGACTTTGCTGAAGCCAGTCACTTGGGTTTTACCATCTGTAAAGGGAAGGGACCGTGTGACCTCCAAGTCTGGTGGAACTCGGACACACACGCTCAATGTATGAATGATTCGGTTATTGGAGTTATACTCTTCCATCCACTCTCGTTCCAGAGCTGCAGCCAACCCTGTTCCCTTTGCCTTGGTCTCATTAGCCCCTCTTCTTCTTCCTAATTCCCTCTTGTCAACAAAGGGCCTTGTTAAACACACCATACTGGCCTAACCTAGTTAACTACCTTTGCCAAAGACAATGGTGCAGGCCTTCAGAAAACAGTGTTTAGGCCTGTGCATTAAGTGCCCACAGGGCTGGTTTCAAGATGCCCAATTCAGAGGTTGGTCTGAGTAACAGAATTTTCAGTGAGGCCCCATGTTGTACTGCATACTGTGAGGTGATTGCCAAATCTCCTGTATTGGGAATTCTGTGGGGCACACCTGGTCTGGACTTGAAGGACTGTTGCTTAAATTGTGGTCCATGCTTAGGAAGCCATGGAAACTCCCACTGAAGACCTTTCCCTACAGGTAAAAACCAACAATACTGCTATGGGCTCTGATACCCAGTTAGGGCTATTACTTATGTCCTCATTGTGTGAATAGTCTCTGGAAGATTTGCACCAAGATGTAGACAAGAATGGCCCCACAGGGTGGATAGCTTTCCATCTACACTGGTGGAACAGGTACCCACACCAGTGAGATCATGGACCCAACTGACCTGGGAGCATTTAAATACAAGTTCTTTTCTTGTAATTAATGGCAGTTAAGCAGCCTTACTGGGTTCTAAAAAATATCAGCTTCTCTGATCCACAGAATTTTGACCAGGGCATCTCCTGTTAATTAGGTTTCTAGAAGATGAGTAAACATAAGTGAACATCAGCTGCCTGAAAAAATAGGTTTTAGGTGTTATAATTCTCAGGTATTTTTTTTAGTATGCTACCACAGTGGAATTCAGTAAATATTTACTAATTTAAATGTGTTTTGCTATTTATGAAATACACTTCAGGGCTGGTTTAGATATGTTAGCTCCTGGATCTAAATCCCAGCACTAGGCAAATGAACACAGTGGTGGCTGAGGTTCATTGCCAGGAAGGAAATATGAGTTGTTTAATTTAGTATTCTGAAATCCCAGCAACCATTTTATTTGCTATGTAAACAAATTGTTTACTTTAGGAATAAAACTGTAATCAGAATTAATTTGTGAACTTAATTGTTTTGTCATCTGATTTATAGTTGTGGCAACTAAACAGGTATAGAAAAATTAAGGGTTCCAAATCATCACGCCAAGACTAATGCTGATGGAAGTGAACGAGATGATTTTCTGTCTTCTTGTTGGAACCATTATGAATTGACTGGGTGGCTTACACAGTCCTTTGTTTTGGCTGTAAATTAGTTATGTTAATCTCGTGAACACCTTGTTTGGAAAAATCTTGTTTCTTTGGCAACTTTTCAGGTCTGACAGTAACTCTTGTGAAAAAGCTGGTATCCACAAGAAGGTTAATGTGATGGCACTATGGGGGCCTAAGAGTTAAACTTTTAAAGAGAAGTTCTGAGTTACTAACTTGCCGAGAAATCTTTAATGTTAATTATAAAATCAGTTTGTGTTTACATAAGAATTCAGTTATCATATATTCATAAAACTCTATAATAGCTCCTGAGTTAAAACATTAAGAAAAGTTTTCTTCCTGTGAGAAAGAATCCCTTTCCTGTTTGAAAATGAACGATTTCTAAAGCAAAAAAAGCCTAGGAATAGTTACAGTAGACACCATCATAAATAAATATAATCCTAGAAATCTGCATTGGCCCTGATCTTCCAAAGGTCAGTCTCCAAGGCCAGTCTGAAAGGCCAGTGGGCATACCTTACTTAGCTGCACTATGTTCATTGTGGGTTTGTTTGGGTGTTTTTTTTGTTGTTGTTGTTGACTTTTTTAAAAATTTCTATTTTCTTCCACTTACATGTTAAAACAATTTTTAACATGTTTTTAAAAAATTTTGAGTTCCAAATTCTCTCCCTCTCTGTCATTCTGGGTTTCTCTATGGTTTTGTTGATAGAATCAGAGCTCCTGGGCAGAGGCTCCTCAGAAGCCACTAGTCCCAGTCCTCATTTTACAGCTAAGTAAATTGGGGCCCAGGGAGATTCCAAGAGTTTTGCCCACATTGACACAGAGTCAGAGATGGGATTTTTACTCTGTAGTCCTTCACTGAAGAAAAGTGGGTCCTCTTTCCTCTGGACCCCACATGTAGCTTATGGGAACCTGCCCCAGCCCCACGAGCCACCCACGGGTGTCCTGAGCCTTCAGTTCAGCTCCTCCTCCAGCATCCTATTTCGAGAGAGGCTCTGCTGCTTTCTTTTAGTCTCAGCTGTCTGGTACCGCTTGTGCCTTCAAGGTTCTTGAGGCAGGGGCTCTGCCTACATTTGGGACACTTTGTAGACAGCTTAACAAACCAAACTATGAGAACCATAGGTTGAAAAGGATGCTGTCATCTCCATGCCCTCCAAACTTAAGAGTGTACAAAATATGAGCTGTAGCCATCCACATTTATTCTGACAACCTTAGCTTTAACTGGAGAACGTAATGAGACTATACATGCTGGTGACTTAATATGTTTATAGCTTTGATCTAGACTTGTAAGACAATAGTTTAAGAAACTGGTGTTAAAAATTGTTTTTCTGTTTTTCGTGTTTAAGCTCAGTTGCAGTGGTGAGACTTTGTGTCTGAAATCTCAATGACAGATTACTGTATAAAAGTTGTGTGGTGCATGCCCAATAATAATTGTGATAGAATACTCCTTCTGCCTCTGTTTTTCTTAGCCCTTCATTCTGAATTGTAATGTTTTATGCTCAGCTGCCAATCAAATGCAAAACAGATTAATTTATCTAGAAATGAGCCATTAGGTCAGAATGCTGCTGTAATAGTCCCTTCCACACTTACTGCTCACAAAAAACCCTTCACGGCTGTTGTTATAACTGAACTTTATAAGTGGAATTAACTTTGCGAGCATCAGTTCATTCAACATCGCTCACACTGAATATGCACGTTTCATGGTTAAACAAACCACTGTACATGGACCTCCTGAAATGGGCTCCTGCAGGTGAAACATTGGTTTTACTATCTTTCCCAAGTCATTTTATTTTAATTAAAAAGCAATAGTGAAACATTCTAGTGTGCTTGTGAGGCCAGCTAAACAAAGTAAGTTGGTGAAAGGTTAGGATGGTGGGAGGTTGGCTTCAGATGCCTTTCAAGAGCTATTTTCAGGATATGGCATGATTAAGTTTGAATTTGTTGTGGAAGGGAAATTGATTCTATTCTATTCAGTGCAGTCAAGACAGGACATCTGAGTAAAGTGCGCATTTGCATTTGGCACACAAACTGACGGATGACTGACTACTGCAAGTATTGAAAGGTATTGTTGAGACTAATGGGGAAATACATTTTACGTAATTTTGTCTGTATAATGACTGTCCCATGTCTTGCCTTCTCTGTAGGTGAAGAAGGGGGAGGGAGAAAATGTAGAACAGAAAATAAAATTTAAATGAAAAAAAATTATTGATATGTTTTTAAAAGGGTTTTGGCTGCATGATATACATAAGTAGAAGTTGCTTCTAAATAAAAGCAGACAGGCCCGGAGTTTCAGAGATCCTTTTATTGTTAAAAGAACTGGTGTTTTTTTTTCTTTCCGTTTTTAAACTACAAAACAGATCCCGTACATTCTGCCATAAATAAAAACAAACAATAAGGCAGGACTTTACATGAGCAAACAGAGTAACCTCCAGAACAAGTGAATTAAAATGTTTCACAATCAGAAGACTTCCAGTTTTTAAAATAAAACTGATGAAAACCAACAAGGCTTCAAGTGAGTCATCAGACGCACTTGAAGAGGGAACAAAACGTGTTCAAACATTTTGCACTATTTCCCCATTTTTGAAAGCCTAGTTTTGCTCAAAGCACGCATCTGCTCAACATTGGAAGACCCACCCTTCTAGTTGGCTTTTAAAGTTTTTATTGAGAACCATTGGATAGAAAGAGGCACCGGTGGCAGCATCACTTTGTTCCCAAGATGCTCGTGACAAAGTGTGTCTCTTAAACAAAGGAAGTAGGACATAGGAGGCAAAGGGACGTGTGCGCACGAGTCTCCCACAGGAGAGCGCTGCCCTCGGCTCACCGGATTCTCTTCTGTTGGCGGGCTCTGTAGATGTCGTGGATGGGTGGCACCACCGCGCCCTTCTCTTCCTCCTCATCCGAATCCTCGTTGGGCCGCTTCACTGCTTTGGTGAGCATGGTGTTGCTCTCCATGGGGCCATTGCCTTCCGCTGCCAGGTCTGGCGCTCCTCCAGTAATGATCCTCACGGCTTCATCAACGGCTTTGTAAGGAGGGACAAGATGGTGGAAATTGTCATGAAAAAACAAGACGACAGATACGCTACTGAATGAGACAACTCGGTTTCCTTCATCAACAGCATTCATTTCCCCATCCATTTATTAACTGGGCCAGGTTTTTGAAACCATTTGCCTTTGGATTTTTAAATAACTTTAGTGCCACTTAAAATAACAGTTAAAAAAAATCACTTTCACATACCAAGTTTGATCATTCATGTTTACATTAAAATGAAAAAACCGGGTTTTATGGCATTGTAGTTGGTATCAGATGGGGTGCACGTAATGTACCATCATGCTCGACCTGCCCAATACCTCATGCCCCACTTGAATGTTAAGAATCTTCCCAGTCCCCCATAGCAGCCTAACTCTGCATAGTTTGTGCTCTGAGAACTTACAGCTTGGGATCTTGCATCTTCGGAAAATTTCCATTAATTCATCTACTTGCACAAAAGGACCCTGCATTCAAGAACAGATTTTAATCCACAGCAATGCAAGAAAAATAGTGTTGCTTCCCATTTCCCTTTCACAAAGTGCGAGGCCTGAAATCAATAGAAAAACTGAACCAACCTGGAAACAGATGGGAGGAGGGAGTAGTTTCATTAAAACTACAGCAGCAGGTGGCACTGGAAACACCCCACCAGGCACAGGGTGTAAACCTGGGGCTGAAAGGGAGAGAAGAGCGTGAGATGACCCTGTGAGATGACCAGGAAAAAAGTGAGTGCTCTGTAGACTGAGTAAACAGATTTGTACAAATCCTCGTTGCCTCTGTGCAAGGGCGCAAGCAGGTGGGCCACAAGATTCAGCTGGATAGTGGAGTCAGTGGCTCCCATACAGATGGGGGACCTCACCTGGGAGGCAGGTGAGTGGCATCGCAGCCCCGGTGACAACTGAGTAGATGAGGAACAGACGGCGGGCTGCAGTGGTACTGGTGAAATATTTAAAAAGTGAGAGGCCAGCCTCTGGGAGTTTGGGCAGCCAGTCTACAGCAGAGGGACCTGGCCTGGACGAGGAGGATGCAGCGAAAAGGGAGAAGGTGCCCTTCTCCACCACTAGAGGGAGCAGCCACACTGATGAGATCCCAACATGGGATCTAAGCTGTGGCCTGTACTGGGAGCAGAGTACGGAGGTCCAGCAGCCGGCTCCTTTGGCCCTCATCCATAGAGCCTCATGAACTGTTCAGCAGGAAGTGTGAGTGCGCTGTTAGGCCACGCAGGCAAAGTACGTTACTGAACAGTATTTCTGAACAACGCCTTAACATCCCTGCCAAAGGATGTTCACTCCAAACACTCATTTTAGATTATTTTGCCCACCCACCCCCATCTCACCCCACCCCACCTCTGTATCTAAAACATCTTAAAATCCAAAAATCAACATGCAGGTCCAGGAAGGGCCACAGCTTACGTGCTAAATGTCTTGGCTGAAAGGGGATCATCTGCTGTGTGTCTGGCTTGGGATATTCAGGTTTTCTATCCACTTCATCTTTAAGGACAGGCACTATGGAAGGCGCTACCACAGGGTCTGGGATGATCGTCGCTAGCTTGGCCCGAGAGACGTCCTGAAAAAGCACAACAGGAGAGTCCTGAACCAGAAGTGGGGGCATGGAGACAGTCATGCAGTTCTCCAACCAGAAATCAGAACATGGGGAAAGAAGTTGTAATTGCAGGAAAAGTGTAGATTAATTACAAGAAAAACCTGATGCTAGGAGAGGTGGCTAAATAATGGAAGTGCCTGGAAGGCCATGGCATTGCTTCCAAAGTGGCCAACCTCTACCTGGTATTGTTTACGGCAGGGCCCTGCCCAGAGACGTAAGGCCTAGCTGCTTTGGAGTGTGATTCTATACTCTCGTGAGCAAAACTCTCATTTATGCTTTCTCATATGCGTGATTTTAAAATACCAGCTACTCTGAAATGTGAAGCATTCCACCCATGGGTTTATAGGAATTAAAAGAAAATGACCCATGAGGGTGAGGTGAACATTGTATTCTTTTTACACCTCTTCCCTCCCAGGAGAACTAGTCAAGATCTCTCACAAGTGCTCTTAATGAAAAACCTGGAATGGATACAGAGAATCTGCCTGAGGCCTTAGAGAACACGTTCATTCCAACCTACTAGTCTAAAGTTTATGGACTTTGATTTTGAATGAATAATTCTAACTCTTTCAGTCAAATCCCCAAATTTGGTACATATCAAAATGCCCATCTAGATATTGGCAAGAACCTATAAAGATGTCATGGAGGCAACAAGTCAGTCTCCTTAACTAACAGATATTGGAGAAATATCCTCTGTGAAGAGCAGTAACACAGAATTCCTATTTCTGTAGTCTTTTAAGTAGTCTTCCCTCCATATGATCCCAGGTTTTGGAGATCATCTCATCCAATCTCATTTCTTAGATGAGGACACTAAACTCCAGAGAGAAGTAGCATGCCCAAGTCATAGGCAGTTGGAATTCAAACCCAGGTCTCTTGGGTCCAAAATCCAAAGCTTTTCCCATTACTCTAAGCTGCCTTTACAAAAAGAATTAATAAAGCAAGGCACCATTATCAACCCCTGGCAGCTGCCTAAAAGAATCCTTTCTTCCCCTTTGGGCAAACGAGTAAATTTCTCTCTCAAAGAACTCTTCACTGGTAGGCACAACTTTAAATACCAGTTTATGGATGGGAACATCTTGGACTCTCAAGAGTTGTCTGACCCTCATGCTGGACTAGGGTAAAGAATAAGACATATGTCTTCATGTATGTTCAATATGATGAATTGTTTTGCCTTAATATTTATTTGTTATGAGAGGCCTTCTATTTGGGTAGGGGGATGAGTGACATGCAATAAATGCATAAATAAATAAAAGCATCAAGAAAACATTAAAAATATACAGAAAAAATGAATTTCAGAAGGGCCACATGGCAATTTTGTTATTACCATTTCAAATTTAATATATAAATCAAAAATAAACTGTAACTGGTCTGCAATTTCATATACAATCCTCTTTTTTGTTTTTGGTTTACTGAAATGTTCGTGTTGAGGGCTGTTAAGATCATAATTTTTAAAAAAAATTTTTTTAAGATTTACTTGAATCCAGTCAGATATTTCTGGACTTCCAAGGGAAATTGTGTGATTTACTTTGAGGGGCCGGAACTCAAAGTGAGGAGACAAGTTCAGATCCTACCTCATTCTTACTAGCTGTGTAAGCATGGAGCAAGTCACTCAACCTTAGCTTCATTCTCCCCATTTATAGAATGGAGATAACAGTATTTGTTTCTGGTTCTTATGATAAGAAGAGCTTTGTGAATTTTTTTAAGGACCTCAAATATAGGGCCTTATGTCCAAATATTCTTAGATTTTCATTAAGAGCTGGTTTAGCCAGAAATAAACACACTACATGGACATACTACATGTAGGCAATAAACTCTTAGCTCAGTCTGCCATTCTGACAGGTCTAGGGCAACTGTGAATTAAGAGCAATAATTAAATACCAATTATTGGCTGATCTGCAGTTTTGAAAGAAATGAAATAAAGAGGACAGTGAAGGAATAGAGATTTTTCACAGGTGCCTTCAACACATCATCTGGCTTTAAATTGGTCCTGTATGGCGCAGGACAAAGTTTCTACCTCTGTTCATGAGAAACAAAAGGAAAAGATAAAACAAGTTTTCTAAAGATGAGTGAATCCTCGGGCTGCTTAAATATCCCACTATTCCCTTGGCCCCGCTTTGGCTCTGTGTCTTCTCAGGGCTCAGTTTACAATGAGCCCGAGCTCTATTTCCAGATCAGATCATTCCATCTGGGCCTCGGAGGCCTCAGCCTGCTGCTGTAAGGAGAGGACAAGGTTCTCTTTTTACTGCACCTTAGAAACTGTAATACAGGAGCTATTTCAATCAATCAGTCAATCATTACATACTTTTAAAGCACCTATCATGTGCCAGAACTAAGTTTGGTTCACAACTAAGAAACCGATTCACCAATTTTATGAGCAGTATCTGAACCCCCTCCAAGTGCTTTAAAGTTAAAAAAGAAAAAAAAGAATAGGTTGAACTATCTGGGAGAACTAATAGCATTTTTGTGGTTTTTTTTTTTTTTTGCTTTTTGGTGAGGCAATCAGGGTTAAGTGACTTGCCCAGGGTCTCACAGCTAGTAAGTGTCAAGTGTCTGAGGTCAGATTTGAACTCGGGTCCTCCTGACTCCAAGGCCAGAGCTCTATCCACTGCACCACCTAGCTGCCCCACTGGTTTTCCTTTTTAAACCTCCCAGCATCCTTGGGTGCTGATTAGAGGGAGCTGGGTAGATCAGTCCCCAGGGGCAAACAGAATGCAGTGGCGCAAATTTGATTTTGACTGAATTCATTTTCAATACTTCTGATGGTTTAATGCCCAAGAAAGTGTAGAGCTGAGAGGAGGAAAATGACAGCCCTCCCATGGAACACTGTGCCCACTGCCTACCTTATAGCCAAGAGCCTTCAGTTCACTGGCAGAGCAGGGATATAAATCCATGAACTTGTACCTATCGACCAGTAATGCTGTTTCCTTGCCTTCGTATTCTTCCTTGAATGCCGTGAACCGTCTTTTCTCCACTTTTAGGATACTGGCTAGATCACCAATGTTACTTTCAAAAGCAAGGAATCGGGCCCATATTTCTCTGCCAAGAGAAGAAAGGAGAGGAGAGGTAGTTCTCAGTCCTCTTTGAGCACGTTCTGATCCATCTTCTGTCTTTCTCATTTTCTGTGACCCTACTATTCTGCAGGGAGTGCATCTACAACCTCCTCAACCCAGTGAGGGGCCAGACAGAAACCAAGGGCCCAAAAAGACTAGAGGTCTGCAGATTTTGTTGAGTTTTGAAATTTGTTTGGTTTTGAAATTAGTCTTAAAGTGGTATAAGTTCCCAGCATCAGACAGGTCCTTTGATTAGGGAGGATTTGGGATTTGGGACAGAGAGGGGAGAAGATCGTCCTATTTCTCCATTAAAGCAGATCAGTGAGAATTATCCTGGGTTGTATAGCGTGCTTGCACCGGGAAATGTTTAACAGCTGGCTCCCCCTCCAAATGAGTGTATGATAGACTTTCACATTTTCTCCGTCAGTTTTGTGAAATCTAGACAGTCAACAACAATAAATTCATCCTTGACTAGTAGCACTGGTTGATTTCCAGGGGGTAAACGCTCACATGGAAAACGTGGCAGTTTGGTTCCAGGAAGCCAGGCTGAGCCGCCATGGCATTCCACTGGCATCCGCATTCTACCAGCAGAGCAGGCTAAGCCCAATCTCTACATAGCAAAAACATGACGCAGGAACCACGTGTAGTCACTACTTAACGTGCCTAAAAAAAAAATCGCTCTTTCATCATGCTGGCCTGGGCCCCAGAGAAGGACATTTTGTCAATGTACTCTTGAAGTACAGCAGAGTCAATTAAGTTTTATGAACCGAATGCATGAACTTGCCAAGACTTGACTAGCATAATCACCGCCCCAAAACTAATAGAGCTTCTCCTATACCTCCAAGGACAGAATATTACAGAACTACCTGGACTCTTTCATGCTAAACGAATACATTGGATACCAAGAGAAAAGCTGACAGGACTTGCTAATTGTACCTTCTTGAAGAAAGAAAGCTTAGATAAAAGCAAAATAAAAAACAATTAGCAAGAACAATGGATATCAAAACAGAACAAAAGACAGGAGCATAGGGAGGCCTAGGACTTCTGTAGTAACCTTGCATTCTAGGGCCAGAAATTGTCAGGGGTCACAGCACCAAGGGACTAGAACAGCTGCAGAAGTTAAAGTGGAAGTTCATAAATATTTAAGTGCCTACCATGTGCCAGGCCCAAAGAAAAAAGACAAAAGAAGAAAACAATCCCTCGTCAATGAACACAGGTACCTTTATAGCATGTTCCAAAAGAACGAGGGCCCTTGTAAGTTGTTTAGAAGGGCACTCAGACTTCTGAGCCACTCTCTGTACGAATATGCAGATTAAATATAAAAAGATTAAAAACAAGATACATAGCAGTTAGGCAGGGTAGGCACTAAGGGGTGGGAGAATCAGGAAAGTTCATTCAAAGGTGATGCCTGAACAGCATCTTGAAAGAAAAAAGGGACTGATTCTACAAGGCGAAGGTGAGGAGTGAGTGCATTTCAGGAATGAGGGATAACCTTGGAAGGGAGATGGAGCATTGTGTGTGAGGAACAGAGAAGGATGGTTTGGGTGCACAGCAGCTTGTGGGGAGGTGAAAAATCCTCAAGGGGACTGGAAAGATAAGACTGGGGCTAGACTGTGAAGGGCTTTAAAAGCTAAACAGATAAGTTTATACTTTATCCTAGAACCAAGGGGGAACCACTGAGGTGGACTGATCTGTGCTTAAGGAAAATCACTTTGGGAGCAGTGGGAAGATGGATCAGAGTGGTGGGAGGAGGCAGATAGACCAGCTAGGAGGACACTGCTGGTAAGAGAGCACAGAGAAAGAGGAGGAGGGGGCCCAGGGCCCGGCTTTGGGGAACGCCCACAATTAGGAGGAGTGATACAGACGATGAGCCAGCAAAAAAAAAGGCTGAGAAGTGGTCAGAAGTTATTCTACTTTGCTCTAGAAGACACGATTTGAAAGACTAATAAGGCGTCTATTAAAGCTTTCCCTCTCTCATTTTCAAAAGGAAGTGAGGCAGTTTGCAAATTCAAACAATGCAAAGTAAGATATTTAAGGGAAAACCCCCCAAATACAGTATATTCAAAGGAAGCAAAGTTTCTTAGATATTATAAGGCATGTGAGATTTAAATGGGCACTGAAACTGGACACAAGTTTTCTAGAAAAAGGACCAACATGGACAAACGACAGGGCTTTTGTTTTGTGTGAAAAAGAAGCACACGAATTCATCTGTAAAAAGATTTCTTTTTCCTGAAACTAGGCTTAAACAGAAATTTATCATTAAGCCCAAATACCCAAGTAAATGTAGCCTTTGGGCAAAACTTACCCAGATTTCTCAGGTGGAAGGCTTCCAGAGGTCAATACTCGTTCAAACAAAACTCGGGTATTGTTGTCCTCTAAGGGAATTCAAGAAGAAAACAAATGATTCAAATCTGCTCCTAACCATTTAAAAAAAAATTCATAATCAAATGCAAATTAAGTCTCTCAACTATTCTAAGTACACAAATCATGAAACTAATGAAATTACAAATGTCAGATTTTATATTTCAATACAAAAGTAGGATTTTTGGAGAGCTGGATTTAAAAAATAGGCTGGGGGTGGGGAGGGTAGAGGGGATATTGTTTCTAGGAGTAACTTTCTAGACAGTCTTATAATTAATTGCTTGACCAGACAATAGAGCACACCTTCATTGAAATATGACAATTTGTGCATGTAGTTACTATATTAAAAATAGGAGAAAAGGGGGCATAGTTAGACTGTCTCTATGATACTTTTGAAAGTAATATTTACTGCTGTAACTTTTTAAGTTTTACCAGTTTAAGAGAGAATAGAAACAAGGCTTTTTTTTCTTTTTATTAATTTATTTTATCCACAATTACTTCCAAAACCTTTTGAGTTTAAAATTTTTCTCCCCCTCCCTCTCCATGACAGTGCACAATCTGATATAGGCTATACATGTACATTCCTATTAAACATATTTTCACATTAGTCATCTTGTAAGGATGAATTAGAACCAATAGAAGGAACCACATGAAAGAGGAAACCAAACAAAACAAGAAAAAAAAAAATGAATAGTATGTTTCGATCTGCATTCAAACTCCATAAATTCTTTCTTTGGATGAGGATAGCATTTTCCATCACAAGGCTTTTGGAGATGTCTTAGATCCTTGTATTGCTGGGAAGGGTTAAGTTTATCAGTATTAGTCATCGCACAACGTGGCTGTTATTGTGTACAACGTCTCTTGGTTCTGCTCACTTCACTCAGCATCAGTCCATACAAGTCTTTCCAGGTTTTTCTGAAGTCAGCCTGCTCATCATTTCTTATAGCACGATAGTATTCCATTACATTCATATACCACAACTTGCTCAGCCATTCTCCAATTGATGGGCATCCCCTCAATTTCCAATTCTTTGCCACCACAAAAAGAGCTGCTATAAATATTTTTGTATATGTGGGTCCTTTTCCCATTTGCATGATCTCTTTGGGATACAGCCCTAGAAGTGCTATTGCTGGGTCAAAGGGTATGCACATTTTTATAGCCCTTTGGGCATAGTTCCAAATTGCTCTCCAAAATGGTTGGATCATTTCACAACTCCACCAACAATGCATTAGCTTTCCAATTTTCCCACATCTTCTCCAACATTTATCATTTTCCTGTTTTACCATGTTGGCCAATCTGATAGGTATGATGTGGTACCTCAGAGTTGTTCTGATTTGCATTTTTCTAATCAATAGTGATTTAAAGCATTTTTTAAAATATGACTATAGATGGCTTTAATTTCTTCATCTGAGAACTGTCTGTTCATATCCTTTTGACCATTTATCAATTGGGGAATGATTTGCATTCTTATAAATTTGACTTAGTTCTATATATAGTTTAGAAATGAGACCCTTATCAGAAACACTGCTTGTAAAAATTCTTTCCCAGTTTTCTGCTTCCCTCCTAATCTTGGTTGCATTGGCTTTGTTTTGTACAAGATATAAGGCCTTTGAAAAATGAGGATACATGTGTAATGGGGATCATATTTCTAACCTTCTCAATGGGTAGAGGAACAGGGAGAGAGAGAGACAGAGAGAGACAGAGAGACACAGAGAGAGAGAGAGAATTCAGAAATGAAAATAAAAATAAAATTAAAAATAAAAGATAAGGATACTATTAAGTTTAACTGTAAATCAGGATGCAAGACAAACAGAGAAAATGAGCCTACCCTGTCTCTGATTCATGGATTTTTAATAATACCTAATAATTTTAGATTACTTTATACACATTACCTCATTTAATTCTTTCAACAGTCCCATTTTACAGATGAAGAAACTGGGGTTTAGGAAAGTGGAGTAATTTTTTTTTTTTGGCTAGACAATGGGGTTAAGTGACTTGCCCCGAGTCACACAGCTAGTAAGTGTTAAGTGTCTGAGGCCAGATTTGAACTCAGGTTCTCCTGACTCCACGGCCTGTACTCTATACACTGTACCACCTAACTGCCCGGAAAGTGGGGTAATTTGCCCCACCCAGGTCACCCTTTAATAAGAATTCAACCCTAGGCCTGTCCTGACTTTAAGGCCATCACTCTTTGTGCTACACAGCAGTGACCTTCAGCCCCTTCTTATAATTTTACACATGAGTTCTTTTCCTTCTTATAATTTGATGCTCTACTGCACCTACACCCTCCCATCTTAGCAGATGGCTGACCCCTAACTTTACCAGAAAAGAGGCCAAGTGCCTGCCATGATGCCTTCATCTCTCCTAACCATCTATAAATTCAGCCATTCCCTCCTTGATCCAGTTTCTGAGAAACCTCCTTCTTGCCAAGGGATAAGCCTTTCTTTCTTTCTTTCTTTCTCTCTCTCTCTTTTTTTTTTAGGCAGTTGGGGTTAAGTGACTTGCCCAGGGTCACACAGCTAGTAACTGTTATGTGTCTGAGGCTGGATTTGAACTCAGGTCCTCCTAACTTCAGGGCCCGTGCTCTACCCACTGCGCCACGTAGCTGCCCTGGGATAAACCTTTTACAACATGCCTATGGTGCATTCCTTCTCTGTCCCTGTCTCTGTCTCTCTACTCTCTCCCTCTCTTTGTTTCTCTCTGTTCTTTCTCTTTGTTTTCAGTTTTTCTTTCTTGTCTCTATCATTGTCTTTCTCTGTCTCTCTCTGCTTTTCCTCTCTCTTCTCTCTGTCTGTGTCACTGCCTTTCTGTTTCTCTTTCTCTCACTGTCTCTTTCTCCCTCTCTCTTTTTCTTTCCTCTCTGTCTCTCTCTATTCTTTGTCTCTCTGCTTTCAATTTTTCTCCCCTCTGTCTCTCTCCGTCTCTGTCTCTGTCTCTAAGGTCTCACTAGAAAAGGAAGGAAACTCAGCAGGCTAATTTCAGATAATTTCACAGAATGAAGTGGAAGGTCACAGTGGTGGCCTTGGGTCAGGAAACCCGGGCTGCCATCATAGCTTGGTAAGCGTGGACAAGTTACTGGATTGCTCTGAGCCTCAGTCTTTTCATCTGTGCAGTGAAGCCAAGAGTAGCTCCTATTTAGCACAGGTTTTGTGGGATGCCCAGTGCTTTCCCCCCAGAATCCCACCGGATCCTCAGCACAGCTTGGGACAGGTGCCATGAGGGTCACCATGTTATGGATGGGTTCAGGGCAGGTAAATTACTTGCCTGAGGTCATGGGCAGTCTAGTGTCGGTAACAGGATTCTGCCTCAGGCCTTTGGTGCCAGGCCTCCCTCTAATCCTGGTGCTCTCCCCTTGCTTCCTCCACACCAGGGCTGTTGTGAGGAAAGTGCTTTGCAAACTGCCAAGGGGTAATTAATACATGTGAGTCATCCTTTTGGACTCTAGCATTTACTTACCATTCAGGTGAGACAGGTAGTCAATATAAGCTAATACATATTCTGGAATGTCCCCGTATTTTTTTAACCCCAGCTCAAAAATCTTAAAGGCCACGGATTTATCCTAGAGAGAAAGAGAAAAAAAAAACCTCACTAATTCAAATTCATATTCTAATGGTTGGCCATGTATTCAAAAAATGGCCTGCTGATGAGCACAGCAATGAAACTACTGTTAAAGGAAAAGCAGGTAGCTGCATCAGCCTCCATTCTGAACGGGCTGAATGACACGTGTTAGAACATGTTCACAAAGTCAACCCTGAGATTTCCTAGACATCCCCTCTGCTATGGGGTGATCTCACAACATGGATCCTAAGGGACCCTTTCACATATTGAGGAATTAAGCTAAATAACTAATTCTATGATGATTTTCAATTCCAGAAATAGGCCTCAATAGAAGAAAACGTTACTTTTTTTTAACTTTTTTTTACCATGACATTTCAGTACTTACCTTACTACAGTAGTACTCCATTAATGCTGCAGTAACATAAACATGATGGCGTGTTCTGGTGTCTTCTCTTGCTTTCTTAAATATCATCCTTCCAGATTTGATGCCTTCTGCCCGCCTTGCAAACTTCATATACTGGATATAGACCTATACAGATTTAAGGGATTTATAAAAATAACTCGTAAGGTAAGAGAGAACACATTTACAGATTATTGAGCCATAGTAAGGCCTGAAGAATCCCAAAGTCTGGATCACACTTTACTCCCCTCCTTAGTGAACTTACTCAGAAGGTAGCAATCTTGATCTTCCCAGAAATAAGAATGTACAATTACAGACTCAGCATATAAGTATTAACTTAAATCATTTAAGTAGCATTTAAGTGTTGAAAAGGAGTATTATTACTTTCCCGAAAATACTAAAGCATTCATTTAACTCTGTCAACTAATTTTCTTGGTGCTAATGATATAAGGATTTCCAAAGATTACACAGTGGAATCTCACTAAAACTTTATTCAGTATGGAGCTAAATATAGCCTATTAGCCCAGACTTTCTGAAGTGCCACCTCCCCTCTCATGGACCCTGAGACAATGTTATGGCAACTGTCCATGTATGCTAAACTTTTCCAGAAGTTCAACATGTGAAATATAGGCAGGCTACTTATGCCTCTTACTTCATAAAGAAAAACCATAGCACAGCTAGGTGGCGCAGTGGACAGAGCACCGGCCCTGGAGTCAGGAGGACCTGAGTTCAAATCCCGCCTCAGACACATACCACTTACTAGTTGTGTGACTTGGGGCAAGTCACCTAACCCCAATTGCTTTGCAAAAAAAAAAAAAAAAGAAAGCATTAAAGCTACTACTCACCAGAGTTGGGTCAATGTCCTCAATAGCCAGAAGTCGATTGTATATGCTATGCACCTTCTCATATTTCATTCGACTCTGAGGTAGCAGAAAAGATTTGGAAACAAGTGATAAATGTACACAACACAGATCTGAATCCATATCCTGCCTCCATGTCCACATGTAAGCACTAATCAATCAATCAGCATTTATTAAACACCTCCTGTGTGCCTGACCCTGTGCTCAACCTTTACGCTTCATAAGAATTACTCCCACAGATGCATTATTATGACATTACTTTACATATAAGCAGACATAAAAGGCAAAGGGTTTAACTTCATTCAATTTTTTCCCCCTGGGCAAGGATAAATAAGGCAAAGGAGATAGATGAAAACAGCACTGCAATAATAAATGAAAAAATTCCTACACAGTTAGGAAGAATGTCTAAACATTTGTTTTCTTCACCCACCTCTTCATAATCTGCATATGCAAAATAAAGAAGCATGTTCTTCTTCAATAAAGTGCTAATCGCTCTCTCATATATGTTAGCAGCCTCATCACTAAATAATTTAGCATTGTTCATGTCCTATGGAGAAAGGGAAAGAAATAAAACTCACCTTCAGTTATTTTAACACAATTGAAATGCAGTTAACTAACATATTTTATCCTATTTTCTTTATTTATGCATAAATACATATATTTGGATTTATATTTTCTTAAAAGCTTAAAAGTTCACATCTTAGCAGAGGGCGGGGATGGGAACAAACATTTATTAAGTATCACTATATGCCAGGCACTGTGCTAATGACCACTTTACAAATATTAACTCATCTGATTCATTATTAAATAAGTTTAAAACAGAATCAGTCCCGAGACTCATACAGCAAAAGTAATATATAAAAATGACTGCCATTTGAATCATCATGAATAAAGTTATTTAACAGCCGCTGCTCTCTATTTACTTTTGAAAAGCGTCTCTCTGCCCTGTTCGTCATCAGGCTTCCTCACTGACATGCATTCTACATATGCAACAATTTTTTTGTTTGATTCTCATCTTTGAATGCGTAGTTAAAGCAGGGTCAGGTCTCACCAATCCCAGTGAAAATGACCAAGAAGCCATGGGCTGCCTTACCCCTTTCTCAGCCAACAGCTTGCTGGACTGCTCTAGGTACTGGGCTGCTTCGTACCAAATATCCGGGTGATGGCCCAGCACCAGCAGGCACTGCTCATATGCAAACATCACTACGAGAAAATGTTCAAACACAGCAACGGTCAGAAGCCTGGCTATGTCTGCTTGATCTCTCCGGCCTTTCCAACAGATGGCTCTCAGGGACCACTTGAACACGCCCACAGACGCCTCACACTTTCCCAGTTTCTAAGAAAGCCCTGTATTTTGCACTGATCAGGCTACCTCTTTTGGTGATGAGCGTCTGGTCTTCTGTTCGGAGAGGGTTGCTCTTTTCCCACTGTATGTATTTCTTCCACATGTCCACTTGCTGAGCCTCTTGGGGAGTATTCTGTGGAGGTACTGAAGGGGCATTGCGGTCTAAACCTTTCATTACTGTTTCATACTCCTAGAAAAGAAATAGTTAGCAAGTGTTAGTAAGCCTATTTTCTTGGGTTAAAAAATTTAATTTTATTTCCAGAATATGCAAGCCTTCAGGAATTTGCTCATTATCCTCCCTGTGTGGGAGCCTTCCTACTCTTCTCTGTATGAACCCTATTTTAGTCTATGGACTGCCCAAGCAAGCACTAGTGAGCCAAGTATGCTTGAAGTATAGATCAATTGGGAAATAGTTATACACATAAACTGTCCAAAAGGCTTTTTCAAATACTGATCATTTTGTTATAGCTAGAAAGAACGGGTGTTTTACATTTCAGCAAAAAAGGAAGGTTGCTGGTGCGGTAACAACTGAAAACAGTGTTGTCCTGACCATTCCAATAGAACAGCTCTGAAGTCCCTTACTTTGGGTCATCTGGCAGTGATCTAAGAGACCACAATAGCAAATAATGGAGCAACTTAGTTATTATTCACCTTTAAAAAATAACTCTACGTTAGCTTTTCAATAAAGTATAATACAATAGGAATATTTTCCCTAATTTCCTCCAAAATAAATATAGGAATATAAAATTATACTTGACCTACAGAGATAGGCCCTGAGGCAGACTATCTTACCAAGGTAAGTTGAGGTATTTAGATCAGATCTAGTTTACCATTCATATTCTGTATCCCTCTTTGTTGTTATACTCATGAAAAGCAATTTTAACTTTTTAATCCATATTTACTTTGTATTTTATTTACCAAATAATATTTGCCTCTCCTGAAGCCTGATGCAAGTTGACAGTAGCAATGGCTATAGAATACACAATACCTCATATTCATATAGCACTTTAAAATATACTAACAATTTTGACATGAGGAACTTGCTCAAATTCAGTGGTTAGGTGACTTGTCTGAGGTCACATAGCCACTGTCCTAGAACTAGGACTAGAATCCAGGGCCTCTGACTTCTAGTCCAGTGGTCTTTCCAATACTGGACGTGGGACCTCACTAAGAGCAATGTATTCATAATTAATTATTAAACTGAACATGCAGATTAAACTCCAAACCTTTGCCACACGCCTGGCATTCATGTAGTCTCTACTTCTATCTTCAATCATTTTTTTAGCTAGATGTATGTTGATGCCCTAGAATAAAATGTGTAGAAAACATGTTACATTATTGACATTTAAAAATTCTAGCATTAATTTAGAACCAAAAATTTCTGAACAAAGAGCTTATAGTAGGGGAGTACACAAATAACTTCATCTTTAAACGCAGGACAGAGTACCAAAAAAGGATAATTCCTTAAAATACAGTTTCTAGTAAAATTCTATCATAAAGAATGACAAAAGGAGCTGAACATTCACCACTAAAAACAGATCATCTAGGTTCATTCCTTATGCCTGCAACTCTCTTTATAACTTTAACTTTCCGAAAATTCAAACAAGAATACAAAGGATACCTATGAGGTCATAATTCCTTCACTAGTTTATGAAGTGCTTCCAAATAAGCATGGAGATAATGAGTAACTTCCTTCTAAACACAGGCATTATCCCCTGACTGAAGCAGTTAACTCAGCTGGTTAAGACATGGTGCTAATGAGGCCAGAACACAGACAGCATCTGCACCAGTCCTCTCACCTTACAGCGGAGGACCCTGAGGGCCAGAGAGCCAGGAAGGGTCACCAGGGTACCACAGATCATGACAGGAGAGGAACTCCAGTCCTCTGACTCCACTACCCCAGACTGCCCCATGGTTTCAATGAGCTCCCACTAACCATTCCTCTGCTTTAGTCACTGTCACTTGAGAAGAGATGATGAATGGCTCAGGGAAAACTGTCACCAGTGCCGGAAAAACATTTAAATCGCACGCCCTCCTGATAGGTCAGCAACGTGGTCTATATTAACCAAGGGCAGCATATTTTATTTTCTACTTAATTTTTTTTCTAAATAGTTTACATTCAAGATAGAGTCTAATCGAAAATGTCCTTTGCACTCCATACTATTAAGTGAGAATACACTCACAAGTAGCTCAGTAGTACACAGAAACTCAAACACTCCTCAGAACCCTGTTCTGAGCTCTTTTGTCATGAGTAACGAGTAATGCCAATGTCCAGGCACTAGGTACTAGGTACTCAGTAGGCCAGAGCTTTCAATGTCTGCGCTACTTTGTAGCCAACCACTGACTGTTTATTTACCTCTTCATATTTATTATAGTCTCTCCAAAGCTGCTCAATATTGATCATTGGATTAACACAACCTCGCTGATAAACTCTTCGGACAGCTGTTATTCTTTGATTTTCTGCATAAGATCCAACAGCTTCCCTACGTGATAGATAACATGTGTTATTTTTGCTATCACACTAAAAACAACAGCTCAAATATAAAATGAAGTTCCGAAAATACTCACACGCCTTTCAAGAAATTGATGTAATCCACCCAAATCTGAGAAATAAAATAAAAGGTCATTCACTTTCCTTTACATATTTATATCCATTAAACTTGATGTAAATACTTTTATAACAAAACATACCTGATAAGACATAATTTCCATTCCAATTTTATCCAAAGCGAAGTCATAGGCTTGTGCCATTTTTTCTCTGAAATATAGGTAATAAGAAAGATCTCAATTTAATCCATTAGTGGAACACCAGGCCTCATGCTGGAGATCCAAAGAGATACACAAAACAATCCCTGCCCTTAAGGCACAAGCTACTGGGGCGAACCAATCAGCACAGACAAAGGAATGCAAAATATGCAGAGGCAAAGCAAAATAACTGGGGAAGCACTCACAACTTCAGAGCTCCAAAGGCTTCTTGTAAGAGGCCGTACCTAAGCTACTCTTTGAGAAGTCAGGAGGGAGAGCATCCCAGGGGCACAACCTAGGCCAAGGCAGGGAGGTAGGACTGGGCAAGGCAACTGCCAGTAGGCCAGTCTTGGCTGCACAGTGTGTGAGAGGGAATAAACGATCGGATTTATAAGCTGTGAAATCCAGAATCTGGATACAGATCTATAGAACTGGAGATATCTGTACAGATATTTGGATGTCCAGATCTAGAGATACAGACACGTCTGTGTTGTTGGTCAGTCGTGTCTGACTCTTCATGACCCCATTTGGGTTGTTGGGTTTTGTTTTGTTTTTTTTTTTTGGCAAAGATACTAGACTGCTTTGTCATTTCCTTCTCCAGCTTATTTTACAGATGAGGAAACTTAGGCAAACAGGGTTAAGTAACCAGCCCAGGGTCACACAGCCAGTAAGTATCTGAGGCTGGATTTGAACTCAGGAAGAAGTAGTCTGAACTCCAGGCCCAGCACTCCGTGCACTATGGCGCCACCTAGCTTCCCACTGATATATCTGTAAAGAGAGAGATACCTAGATGTAGAGACATATCTACAGAGAGATCTAAAGATGTCTAGACGTAGAGATACAGACATATCTGTAGTTATATCTATCGGGTCCTATGGAGATCTAGAGGGACATCTATTTCTCTAGATATAATAAGGAATTAAGGCTGTCTAGACTGACTAGAAAAACAGGTGGGTGCCATACTACGAAGGGCTTTAGATTCTGGTTAGAATCGGCATTTTATCCCAGCGACAGCACTGTGCCTCTGGAGTTTCTTGAGCAGAAGGAGTGACATGGCCATAACTGATTTAGGCATATGGACTTGGTAGCTGGATGGAGTCAGAGAGGGAGAGACTGGAAGTAGGGAAACCAGTTAGGTGGCTATTTCAATAGTCCAGATAAGAGGTAATGAGGGCCTAAAGTAGATTAATGACTGTGAGAAAGCAATGGGATGTTGTAGAGGTAGAAATGATAAAGGGAATCTAAAATGTCATCTACAATTAAAACATAAATAATATTCTTTTAGCAAATTAAAAGAAGCCAGAGGCAAACAAAAATGCTAATTACCTGGCTGCAAACATAGCATGCGACACTGTACAATGTGTCCAAGAACTCAATTTTTACTTCACTGGCCATTCTCCTTTTAGCTCAGAACAAATTGCAAATGGTCAATAGGTCTGTGAATATCTTCTACTGGCTAACATATAGTGTTATTAATATTCCTAAAATACCATTTTCTACGCATCAACCTCCTGCTCAAAATTGTTCATTGTTTCTCTGCTGACTAAAGGTAGAAGTCCAAACTCTATACCATAGCATTTAGGCTGATCCCTATACTTCCCTCTTTAATCTAACATAGACCACTCTACAGCCAAGCTGGTCTACTCATTGTTCCCTGAGAACAGCATGCACAGACCCATCCCTCCAAAAAAATCCAATTCCCTATCAGAAATGCTCCTCCCCCATCTATTTCTCTACTTCCTTAAATTCTACCCCTCACAATCTCCCTCCTCCCAGGATTTAGTTTTTGTTAAACTTGTATTGTTATTTATACTTTTATATCTCCCCAGCTAGATTCTAAGTCTCTCAAGGGCAAGGACTCTTATTTTTTGTATCCCCAGAGACCTAAAAATCACAATCAGTCAATAAGTGCTTGGTGAAAATGTTGGGAAGCTGCAGGCATACAGACTATAATAACAAGCACAGCTAACTACCAGGATGAAGAATGCTTAAAAGGATAGGAAAAATATGGTTTTCTACAGAAAGACTGTAATGTGCTTTAATCTCCTTTTTGGAATATGTCTCAGAATAAATCTGTTAGGAGATAAGTATTTTGTTGTAGAAGACAGTAAAGAGTCCTGCCTCAGGTGAAAGAGAGAATTCTCGCAATGGCTATATAACTTACTGGTCTGCCTGTACATGAAAAGTGTCCAAGGATCAACCTCTTTAACGTACAAAAGACTTACAGATTAAAACAGCTCTGAGGTACCACCTTACACCCATCAAATTAGCAAAAATAATCGAAAGTAAGGAAACTCAATGCTGGTGGGATTAAGAAATAGGCACAAAAGTTCACTGATGATGAACCTGCAAACTAGTAGAATCTTTTTGAAAAGCAATCTGGCAATATTCAGTCAAAATTACAAAATAATCATGCCTTTTGATTGAATAATTCTATCACAGTAAATATAATGGAAAAGTGTGTAAAGGCTTTTACAACAGTAGTATTTGTAATTACCCCAAACTGGAAACAACCTAAATAAACTAAAATAAGGGAATGGTTACACAAATTGTTGTATGTTAATGGAATGGAATACTATACATAATGCAATTAAAATGAACTCTTAAAGGAATATAAAGAAATCCAGGCCTTTACTAAATGCAGTAAAGAAAAAGAATAGCAGATGAGCTGAGTATTTTTACTCTATTTATTTAAATATTTACTACAACAAGTAAAGAAGAAAAATGGATGAAAATGAATGGACAAAGAACACTGATGGGGACTTAGAAACAGAGAGTGAAAAATTATGTTTCATATTTTTAAATTCACTTGTTATTTGTAAATGTAAATAGCTGCAGAGCAAATCTGGCTATATGTGAGTTTAATATTAAGCATGTGATGGCAAGGCAGGGCAGCTAGGTGGCACAGTGGATACAGCACCGGCCCTGAAGTCAGGAGGACCTGAGTTCAAATCCGACCTCAGACCAAACACTTGACACTTACTAGCTATGTGACCCTAGGCAAGTCACTTAACCCCAACTGCCTAAAAAAAAAAAAGCAAGGAAAAGTAAAAAATTAAATTGCGAGAATCACTTAATTCCCACCAAAAAAAAAAAAAGGACTGCAGAAAAAGCCCTGTAAAATTATTTAAGGCACTGCCACATCACATAAACTATCAACATGGCTGGTATCAAACCAAACTGAATTCTGGTAAGTTTGGTGTTTCAGTACAAAAAACTTAGATGTGTTTGTGGGACCACCAGAAGCACCTAAGCCACTGGCTTTCACTGAAACTTGAGAATTTGTTTTATGTGATTGAGTAAAAGACTCCCAAAGTCTAAAAGACTAATCCAAATGAGGAAATCTATTATTTTAATTAAGTCCACAAGTGTTTCTTCACTCTTCTCAGTGTTTGAGAGAAGGAACAGGAACAAATGTGAAAATGTGTGCCTGAGTGGGTTTGCATTTTTGGGACCCCCAGATTCACTTACTTGTAGCTGGGTAGTTTTCCCTTGGTTTCTCTGACATAGGAAAGATAACACTTCCATAAATCAATATGTAAAACCTTCATGAGGCATCTCTGAAATAACTGTTAACACAAGAGAACAGTATTAGCTGTGTGTAATAACATTTCACTTTTACATTATTGGGGTGAAATTCATAAATTTAAATTCGGCAGAGAAAAATAACTCAACTGTATTGGTGACATTTTGTATTCTCATAAGCAAGGCTACATAATATGAGTAAAAAACTTCTATAGTCTAGGTTGTGTTCATTTCTATAGTGGAGGCTTAAGTGATTAAACCTATTCTTCTGCTTGTGGTCACTAAAATATTGCAACTACCAGTTAAACTATAGTATAATATTTTGAGTATGTTTGAATGGACTCACCTTTTCAACCTTGTCATAATTTTTAGCTTTAATCTGCAGAGAAATAGAAAAAAATAAAGGCTTATTTTTTTTAATCTTTAAGTAACAGAAATAAGTTTCTATACAATGTTTTCAACAGTTTCTTTTCTTAGAAATCTGTTCTTCCTTAAATAGCAAATACTATGAGAGTATGGAAGCAAAAAGGAGCTTGTAAACTTATTTTACTTTGAAAAACTACTATAGTACAATAATTTTCATTAATGTCAAGGCAAATATCCCATAGCATAATTATCAGATAAGGTGAACCAGATACAGCAAAACTGGTCCTAGGCCAAGCAGCAGGAAAGGTGCCCTCAAATGAGCTTTTTAAGAAAAATTCTATTATAGGAGAGACCTCAGAATTTAGGTCACAGGTCCAATGATATAGGGAAAAAGAGACCTGGGCACAGGAGAGACTGTTGAAGAAGATGTCATCAGGGAAAGAACAAGGGTAAGTGCATCCATCATCAAGTGAAAGACCATCTGGCAGCTTTTTATTTTAAGCAATCATAGTTGCTAGCTAGGCACTGAAGCTCAGTTATTCTGTCCTGCTGAAGAAGTAGAAGTACTAATAGTACACTCTAAACTTCGGTGCCTGGGGACAAAGCACAGTGACTCCAGCCTCTGAAGTGACCTTACAACTCACACAAAATATTGACTCAGCAACCAAAATCAAAAGCAGGAATCTGCAGGAGGACCACCTGACTGAAGGCTATTTGGAATGTGTACTGAAGGTACTGTTTGATTCAAGACTGGTTTTTACCAAGTAGTCACAACCAGAGTGATGGAACAAAACTACTGGGTAAGGCACTGAGGTTAATTTCAGTGAGTTTCCGAATGTACATATGCACATATGTGTGCATGTATGTACGTATGTATTACAACATATGAATCCAATTATTAGAGAATCGGACCAGCGGTTAATGAATACAAGTGTCAGGTCTTTGTACTTTAGTGATGTGAATTCATCTCCTTTAGAGCTATAGAATTATCTATGATGCTGCTTGTTTCCCATACTACACACACTGTAGTTGATGAGACCAAGATGTCAAACAGGATCTTGGGTAGTTTGCAAGCATAACATTTGCTGTTGTTGTTGGAGCAGCCAAGTGGCACAGTAGACAGAGCGCCAGGCCTAGGGTCAGGAAGACCCCAGTTCAAATCCAGCCTCAGACACTTACTAGCTGTGACCCTGGAGTCATGAAGAGTCTGACACAATTGAAACAACTGAATCGAATACGACTGCAAATAGTCTGCAAACAGCACATTACATACATCATTTCTTACAAAATTACTGTAGCTATAATGATGAGTATTTTTAAGCTTCACTCTACAAGAGGATCAGAGGGTAAGTGTTTAAGGTCTTACTGTAAGTGCAATAATTGGTGACACTATTTATACAACTCCCTTCTGGAATCTTATTGAATCAAACCTCTTCCTGAAGAGGGAGTTTCTGCGTGCCACCCCACACCCCCAGCAAACATTATTCATCAGCAGTTTAGAAATATAAAATGCCCCAAATTATGAACATTCATATCTATTTTCAACATGCCAGTTGGTTCTACCTCTTCCACCTTCTATTCATGGGCTACTGAACAAAGCCAAAGGCAGTCTCACAGCTGGGCTCACTGGGTACATCATGTGTTGTGTTATTATGAAGTTGTGTTATCCAACTTCAACTAGGCCCTCTCTGCAGCAAAGTAAGTCTTTTTATTCCCTCTAAATGACTGATTCCCTGGTTCTCCAAAGAAGCTCCTTTCAAACTTCTTTCCTTAAGCATCCCATGTCTCTCCTTCCCTTTTTCAAACGAGGACCTTACCTCCTACTTTACTGAACAAAGGCCATTAATGTGAGTTCCCTAGTCTCTTATTTTCAAAACCTATTGACATTATCTCCCACTCTTGCTCCCTATGTCCAATCTATGAAGGCCAACCCCACTACACATGCAGTTGATCTCATCCTCTGCCTTCTTTAGTAGTCTAGACTACAATCTCAAACATGCCTTCTCAAATCTTCAGCCTCTCCCTACTGCCTCAAACATACTCAAGTCAACCCATCCTTAAATAACCTTCATGAAATGCCACTGTTCCCTCAAGCTATTATCCTACAGCTCTCTACCCTTTCCCAGGCAAACTCTTTGAAAAAGGTGTCTACACTTGTCATCTTCATTTCCTCTTCTTTCACTCACTCCTAAACCCTTTGCAACCTGGTTTCTGACCTCATCACTCAACAGACACTGTTCTCTTCAAAGTTACCCATGATCTCTTAATTGCCAAGTCAAATGGTCTTTTCTTGACCCTCATCCATTTTGACCTGTCTGCTGGACATACCTCCCTCCTGGATACTTTGTCCTTTCTGTGTTTTCATGACATTTCCTTCTCCTGTTTCTCCTCCTACTTGCTAAGCATCCTTCTTCATCTCCTTTACTAGCTTATCATCCACACCATACAACAGCTTACATAGGTATTCCCTAAGGTTTCATTCCAGGTTTTCTTCTAAGGATTTCAAGAATCCTCTACATGCTATCTCTTATTTAATTATCATCTCTAAACACACATGCTTGGCACATAAGTAAGAACTTAATAAGTGCTCACTCATTCATGACATATCTATATTTATACCTATACATCTCACCAACCCACCTGTCTCCCCTAAGCTTCAGTTTTGCATCACCATCTGCCTATTGGACATTTCAACCACTTTTCCTTTTGAAATTCTCAACTCTTCCAAACTTCCTTATCTCTGCAGAAGGTACCACCACTCTTCCTGTGTTATGCTGACTCCTCTCTCTCCCTCATGTCATATATGAAACTGCCAGACCTTGCCATTTTCTTCTTTACATCTCACGTTCAATTCCTTCTCTCTTCACACAGCTACTCCTGGATAACTGCAACAGCTTTGTCTCAAGTTTCTCATAACACAAGTTCATCCTAAATTCTGTTGCCAAAATAATTTTCCTTAAGCACAGATCTGACTATGTCACTCCTCTACTTAATCAACTCCAATTGCACCTAATTGTTTCTAGGATGAAATATAAATTATGCTAGTTAGCTATTAAAACCCTTCATGATCTGGCCCCAATCAGTTTTCCTGCCTCCTCAGATATTACTCCCCCCGCTTCCTGCATTTGAAATCCAGCCAAATTCGGTCTTCTCTCTTTTCCTCACATGACAATTCATCTCCCTTCTCCATTTCCTTTACGTGGTCTGTCTCAGATGCCTGAAATACACTCCTTCCTCATCTCCTCCTCACTGAAGCCCTCTCTTCCTCCAAAATATAGTTGAAGCATCGCCTTCTGCAAGATGCCTTTGCTGATCCCCAAAGTTACTACTGCCCTGTCTCCCAAACTATACTGAATATAACTTTGTATTTATCCACTTTCTATCTATTCTGTATCTACTTAAATATGCACTTGCTGCCTTCCCCATTAGAATGTATGTAACAAATATAAGGATTATTTCATTCTCTGTCTTTGTTCTCCCAGTGCTTAGCAGTGACTGCATGTAAGTAGGCATTTAATCAAAACTTTTTGATTGATTGATGGTAGTATAATAATGCAATAATGGAAGACTGTCTCATGTCAACAATTTGAAGCTGGTAGATGACCTCATCATTCAACCAAACCTATTTTCTCCAAAGAGACCCCTGATCTATAAGCTGTGATGGATTTTTTTCAGTCTTCATTCATTCTGATGTAGCTACTATTTTTGACACTGCTGAACACCCTCTCTTCTTTCATACATTTTTCTCGCTAGGTTTTCATTACAGCAGATACAGTTAGTGGACAAAGCACTAGGTCTGAGTCAGGAAAATCTGAGTTCAAATCCAGCTTCAGACCCTTACTAGCTGGGGATAATAACAGCACCTACCTCTCAGGATTGCTGTGAAGATCAAATGAGTCATACTTGTAAAGTACTTGGAAAACCTTAAAGCATTACATGAACTCTAGCTATTATTAAATGGCAGCTTTTACTACTCTCTCCTGATGTTTGGTCTAAGGATTTTTTTATATCTTAGAAACTAAGCTCCAAGAGGCATGGGGAATGGGGGAAAACCTTAGCTCTAAGCTCAATCTTGATCAATTAATGAATAGTGCCAATAGGAGGTGCCATTTAAAAACATCATTATCAAGTTAACAATTTTTTTCATAGTATCTTGGAATATTTACTTCTTACTAATGGATATGCTAGCATGAATGCTATTGGAGTTAGTTTATTACTCAAACTAATTATGTCTAGACAATTACTGCAAGGTATTTACAATACTATTTATACTTTCTAAGATAGAAAAAGTATTTGGTTTTTAAAATCATATATATGTGTAAAATGATAAAAGTATCTCACAACACTTCATCATTTGCCCTTTCCATAAGTATTTGGGATGCTTCTAAAGTGAAAAAGAATGAGACAGAGAAGGCATTTCAGGTCATTTCAGAGAGTACGAGTCAATGTTTTCAATAATATCCAAGATTTAGTGCACTGGCTAAAAATCAAGTATTTCGTTTTGAGAAAAAAATGTTTAGTTCATTAGTGTTTTTAACAAAGCTCAAGTTTTTTTCAAAATTAACAAAAATATTAAGATTGTAATTAATTTGAAATAAGGTTTATCTTTTTAAGTAGAATAAAGTATTTAAACATTTCAAATGAACTCAAATAATGTTCCTGATATTTTACAAGTGATTCATGACTTGTAGGTCATTCAGTTAAAAATCACAATGGTTCCCCAGACCTAAATGATGAAAAACTGTCTTTTGCAACTTCAGTTTTCATGTGAACTTAATATATAAAACTAATTTTCTTGCTGATGGTGGAATCTGTACTTTACTTTTGAAAGATGTGAAAATCTATCACCCAAAGAAATACTCTCTTCCTTATTTTAAGTATTGACTGGCGTCTTAGTGGAGTGCCATCCATTATATATACAAGCATTTTTATTAGTGGTAGTCTTCAAGAATTATTTTGAAATAAGAGGAATACTGCATTTTTATTATACTTGCTCTGTCCTGTGCATGAAAA